TAGGCCATAAAGCAAGTCTCAGCAAATTCAAAAGAATTAGAATCATACCATGCAGCTTCTCAGACCATAAAGGAATGAAGCTGGAAATGAAAAACTCAGGAATCCCTAGAGCATATGTAAACACATGGAGATTGAACAACATGCTCCTGAATGAACAATGGGTCATAGAAGAAATCAAAAGAGAAATCAAAAACTTTCTGGAAGTAAATGAGGATAACAGCACAACATACCAAAACTTATGGGACGCAGCAAAGCAGTGTTAAGAGGAAAGTTTATATCAATAGGTGCCTACATCAAGAAATTGGAAAGGCACCAAATAGATGAGCTTTCTGTTCACCTCAAGGATCTAGAAAACCTACAGCAAACCAGACCCAAATCTAGTAGGAGAAGAGAAATAATTAAAATCAGAGAAGAAATCAACAGGATTGAATCCAGAAAAACATTCCAAAAATCAGCCAAACGAGGAGCTGGTTTTTTGAAAAAATAAAATTGACACCCCATTGGCCCAACTAACTAAAAAAAGAAGAGAAAAGACCCAAATCAATAAAATCAGAGATGAAAAAGGAAATGTAACAAGAGACACCACAGAAGTAAAAAGAATCATCAGAAATTACTACAAGGACTTGTATGCCACCAAACAGGGAAACCTATCAGAAATGGATAGATTCCTGGACACATGCAACCTACCTAAATTGAACCAGGAAGACATCGAAAACCTAAACAGACCCATAACTGAGACAGAAATTGAATCAGTAATAAAGGCCCTCCCAACAAAGAAAAGCCCAGGACCAGATGGATTCACTGCTGAATTCTACCAGACATTTAAAGAAGAACTAACTCCAATTCTTCTCAAACTATTCAGAACAATCGAAGAAGAGGGAATCCTCCCAAATTCTTTCTATGAAGCCAGCATCACCTTAATTCCTAAGCCGGAAAAAGATGCAGCACTGAAAGAGAATTACAGACCAATATCCCTGATGAACATAGATGCAAAAATCCTCAATAAAATTCTTGCCAATAGAATGCAACAACACATCAGAAAGATCATCCACCCAGACCAAGTGGGATTTATCCCTGGTATGCAGGGATGGTTTAATGTGCACAAGACAATCAATGTGATACACCACATTAACAGACTGCAGAAGAAAAACCATATGATTATCTCAATAGACGCCGAGATAGCATTTGATAAAATACAACACCCGTTCATAATGAAAACTCTAAGCAAACTGGGTTTGGAAGGAACATTCCTCAATACAATCAAAGCAATCTATGAAAAACCCACAGCCAACATCCTATTGAATGGGGAAAAGTTGGAAGCATTTCCACTGAGATCTGGTACCAGACAGGGATGCCCACTCTCACCACTGCTATTCAATATAGTCCTGGAGGTTCTAGCCAGAGATATTAGGCAAGAAAAAGAAATTAAGGGATACAAATTGGGAAGGAAGAACTCAAACTATCCCTCTTTGCAGATGACATGATTCTTTATTTAGGGGACCCAAAGAACTCTACTAAGAGACTATTGGAACTCATAGAAGATTTTGGCAAAGTAGCAGGGTATAAAATCAATGCACAAAAATCAACAGCCTTTGTATACACAGACAATGCCATGGCTGAGGAAGAACTTCTAAGATCAATCCCATTCACAATAGCTACAAAAACAATCAAATACCTTGGAATAAACTTAACCAAGGACGTTAAAGATCTCTACGATGAAAATTACAAAACCTTAAAGAAAGAAATAGAAAAGCATACCAAAAAATGGAAAAATCTTCCATGCTCATGGATTGGAAGAATCAATATCATCAAAATGTTCATTCTCCCAAAAGCAATTTATAAATTCAATGCAATACCAATCAAGATACCGAAGACCTTCTCAGATCTGGAAAAATTGGTGCTGAAATTTATATGGAGGCACAAGAGACCTCGAATAGCTAAAGCAATCTTGTACAACAAAAACAAAGCCGGAGGCATCACAATACCAGATTTCAGGACATACTACAGGGCAGTTGTAATCAAAACAGCATGGTACTGGTACAGAAACAGATGGATAGACCAATGGAACAGAATTGAAACACCAGAAATCAACCCAAACATCTACAGCCAACTTATATTTGATCAAGGATCTAAAACTAATTCCTGGAGCAAGGACAGTCTATTCAATAAATGGTGCTGGGAAAACTGGATTTCCACGTGCAGAATCATGAAGCAAGACCCCTACCTTACACCTTACACAAAAATCCACTCAACATGGATTAAAGACCTAAATCTACGACCTGACACCATCAAGTTACTAGAGAACATTGGAGAAACCCTCAAGATATTGGCACAGGCAAAGAATCTCTGGAAAAGACCCGGGAGGCACAGGCAGTCAAAGCCAAAATCAACTATTGGGATTGCATCAAATTGAGAAGTTTCTGTACTGCAAAAGAAACAGTCAGGAGAGTGAAGAGACAACCGACAGAATGGGAAAAAATATTTGCAAACTATGCAACAGATAAAGGGTTAATAACCAGAATCTACAAAGAGATCAAGAAACTCCACAAAAACAAAACCAACAACCCAATTAAGAGATGGGCCAAGCACCTCAATAGACATTTTTCAAAAGAGGAAATCCAAACGGCCAACAGGCACATGAAAAAATGTTCAAGGTCATTAGCAATCAGGGAAATGCAAATCAAAACCACAATGAGGTTCCACCTCACCCCGGTTAGAATGGCTCACATTCAGAAATCTACCAACAACAGATGCTGGCGAGGATGTGGGGAAAAAGGGACACTAACCCACTGTTGGTGGGAATGCAAACTGGTCAAGCCACTATGGAAGTCAGTCTGGAGATCCCTCAGAAACCTGAAGATAGCCCTACCATTCGACCCAGCCATCCCACTCCTTGGAATTTACCCAAAGGAATTTAAATTGGCAAACAAAAAAGAGGTCTGCACCCTAATGTTTATTGCAGCTCAATTCACAATAGCTAAGACCTGGAACCAACCTAAATGCCCATCAACGATAGACTGGATAAAGAAATTATGGGATATGTACTCTTTAGAATACTATCTCTGTGAGTGAGATCTCAGTGGAAAGAACAGGTCTTCAAAGAAGGAGGTACCTTTCTCTGAAGGGAGGAGAGAACCTCCACTTTGACTATGACCTTGTCTAAACAAGATAAGAGTCGGAGAACTCAGAGGGATTCCATAGCCTTGGAAACTCATGACTGGAGCATAGGGAGATTACTGATGCCATAGACAGGAGTGTCAGTTGGTAAAGTCAACAACAGGAGTCACTGTGCACTTACTCCTCATGTAGGATCTCTGTCCTTAATGTGCTGTGCATTGAGATTTAATGCTATAACGAGTACTCAAACAATATATTTCACTTTGTGTTTCTATGGGGGTGCAAACTGTTGAAATCTTTACTTAATGCATACTAAACTGATCCTCTGTAAAAAAAAAAAAAAAAAAAAAAAAAAAAAAAGAAATTATCAACTCCCAACTTGACTCTCACTGGGATTAAACATGACAATAGGTCTGATCTGATTTCATCATCATTTAAAAAAAATCATCTATTATTTTTCACTTTATGTTTATGTGTGGGAGCAAACTGTTGAAATCCTTACTTAATGTATACTAAGCTGATCTTCTGTATATTAAGATAATCGAAAATGAATCTTGATGTGAATGGAAGGGGAGAGGGAGTGGGCAAGGGGAGGGTTGTGGGTGGGAGGGACGGTATGGGGGGCAAGCTATTGTAATCCATAAATCGTACTTTGGAAATTTATATTCATTAAATAAAAGTTAAAAAAAGACAAAACAAAATGTATGCCACTGGAAATTGTAAATCAGATATATTCACAATAGCAAGAGAGATTAAAAATTTAAAATGAAAAAAAAATTACCTTCAAATAGGCAGAAGAAACAAAGGATAGGCAGTAGGACTTGATTATGTCTCAGGGATTTACCACAGAAAATGTATGCAAAAAACCCACCATCATCAAAGCAAACATATTCTACCATGCATGTCTAGGTTTTATTCTCCATTAGGTGATATGTTTTGGAAAATTTCATTCTAATAGCATTAGCACTTAACGACAGAGCACTAATCTTTCTAAAAATAAAATTTAGTATTTAGATTCTCAAAACTCACCAAACCAACTGGAAATGTCTAGTTGTAAAACAACAATGTTATGCTCAAGTCAGTTTCACATCATAAATGATAATCTATGACTAATGTCAGTAGGCAAATTCCAATTCTAAACACTACTGGGGATTGCCACTGTGATTTTCAACTGTGTTGACATTCATCTTATTGCTGAATTGTAGGCAAATTTCTTTGGCAACATTTACATATCAGTTAATGCCACAGGAAAAACTGTTACATTAATTTAGCATCTCAAAACTGCATTAGAATTACTTAAATACATTTTCTAATAGATTCTACAATAGGAAAGCCTCCAAACATGCCTATTAACAAAATCTGTTCAAAGAAAGCGAACTATTAAAGAATCAAGACACGTATCTCACATGAACTACTTAAATTTAATTGTATAAGTTACAGCTAAATTCACCAAATAATTTAAAAAGTCCTTAAATAAAAGCTGATGTTTTTAAATAAATTTCTTTATAATTTACCTAACTTTATTATAATTCACAGCTATTTAGCCTGAATTTTAACATAAAATGTCTAAATCAATCTTCATGTGAGTTATTAAATGCAACTCAATATGCACTGCTTTCTTTAGAAAATATGTACTAAGCACCATCATGTACCAAGACTCACAAGCAATAACTCCAGCAATATATGTCATAATTCATCTTCAGAATAATTTTTGGGTTGCTTTAAATAAAGATTACACATCTGTGTGTGTGTCTGTGTGCATACACACCTGTTTAGGTATGTGTGTGTATATATATTTATGTATATATCTTGAATGAGGAGGACATTATATGTAACAGTGATTCAAGTCAGAAACATAAAATTTTTATCAAAGATTAACTTACCTGGGTCAAATTGTTTTTGAAGTCCTCGCATCCATTCTAGTGTTCTATGTGTCACTTCTTCTTGTTTCACTTCTTCTTTATGATATTGCTTTTCTTTTCTTCTTAACTGTTCCCTAGGTTTTTTACACAATATATCAGTATTGGTCTCTTTTTCTTGTTTTAGGTAAAACATGCTTGTTTCAAAATTCATTTTATTAGAAATTAAAAGATTCATTGTATAATCTTACACTACCATGCAGCTTATACACTCTAATAAAATTTATGTTCTCAAATATCTTCTTATAACATTTCATTTAAATCTCTTCTTCAAAGGACAGAGTTGAAAGTTAGCTGTGAAAGCACATTCTTAAAACAAAAAAAAAAAATAGCACATTCTTGAGACTGGTATTGTGTAGTGTGTCAAGCTACCGCCTGTGATACTAACACCCCGTGTGGCCACAGGTTCCTCTCCCAGCAGATGTACTTCCTATCTAGCTCCTTGCTAATGGCCTGGGAAAGCAGCACAAGGTGACTCAAGTATTTCAATCTCTGCTGCCACCTATTTGGGAGACCTAGAAGAAGCTCCTAGCTCCTGGCTTCAGCCTGGCTCAATCCTGGCCATTGAGGCCACCCACAGTGAACCAGCAGCTTGCTCACTCGCTCACTCGCTCTCTCTCTCTCACTCTTTCAAATAAATAAATAAATCTTTGTTATCAGAAATTACATTCTGATAATTGATAAGATTCTGTTACTTGCAACTGATAACTGTTATCAAGAAAGGAATTTTGAAATTATCCAGTAGAGTTATGAGTTGAAAATTACCTCTTCCTCATCCATTCATAATTACATCTCCATTAGGAAAGGTAATTTAGAATTAACCAATCTTTAATGAATTTTTTAAAAAAAGATTTATGCATTTATTTGAGAGGCAAAGTGATATATAGAGAGAAGAGACACACAGAGAGGTCTTCCATCTGCTGGTTTACTCTCCAAATGGCCACAACAGCAGGAGCTCAGAGGATATGAAGGGAGAAGCCAGGAACTTCTTCCTTATCTCCCATGTGGGGTGCAGAGCCCCAAGCACTTGGCACCTTCTAATGCTTTCTTAGGCCTTAAGCAGGCAGCTAGATCAGAAGTGGAGCACCCAGGACTTGGACCAGTACCCATACAGAATGCTGGTGCTACAGGCAGAGGCTTAACTTACTATGCAACAGTTCTGGCCCTTAATGAATTATTTTTTTATAAACACCTTTATATAGTTATTAGAACTACAATTTCAACTTTATCAAATATTACACGTATCCTTAAAATTATTTAGAGTGTAAGACAGCCTATAATTTATACATGTCCTTTTACATGATACACACAGCTACTGATTAATATCATCCAAGGGTAAAGAGTATATGTGTCACTTCATATAATTGATATTTTTGGTAGTATTTTCAACTTAATGATTATTAAAATTCATAAACAATTTCAAAAAATGACATTGTTAATTAAGCAAGGGTGCTACGTGCTTTCAACATAGAACATGAAACGAATTTTTGCATGTAAAAAAGAGAAATGTTCAAGAAACTAATCAGAGATTACTTTCCAGTTTTCTGTCATCCCATGCATGTTAAAATAAGTAAATTTCAAAGTCTTCAAGGTTAAAAAAACTGTCAACTATATATCTGTTGATGGAAGTATAAGCTTATGTACTTTCTTGACAAAAATTTAGAAATATTAACCAAGCATTTAAAAAGGTTTCCTCAAATTTAGCCATAAAATCCATATTGAAGTATTTATTCAAAGTCAAGCACTTGGAATATAAAGAAATGTTTATATAGAAGATGTTTGTTGCAGCATGACTTATAATACAACAAAATATAAACTCAAAATACAATGTTCAAAACAAATCATGAAACTTCTATATGGTGTGCTTCTATGTAACTAAGATTACAATCTGAAGAAGATGTATTTAATTATTACAAGCATTCACACTTAAGAACTTGTACATTATTTGCAATTCTTGTGAATTTCACACTTCCTAAGAGTAAGAAGTTTCTACCCTGTAAAATCCCAGAATATCTCGGATGGTCAAAGATGAAAAATCCTCCACAAAATACCAGCTCATTGAATCCAACAACACATCAGAAAGATCATTCACCCAGACCAAGTAGGCTTTATCCCTGGTATGCAGGTATGGTTCAACATTTGCAAACCAATCAATGTGATACAACACATTAACAAATTGAAGAAAAAACACATTATTATCTCAACAGATTTAGAAAAAGCATATAATAAGATATAGCATCCTTTCATGATGAAAATCTTAAGTGAACTGAGTATAGAAGCAACACTCATCAATACAATCAAGACAAACTATGACAAACCCACAGTGAGCACCTTATTGAATGAGTAGAAACTGGAGGCATTCCCCCTAAGATCTGGAACCAGACAGGAATGCCCAACTCTTACCACTGTCATTCCATATAATCATGGAAGTTTTAGCCAGAGCCACTAGGCAAGAAAATAAAACCAAAGGAATACAAATTGGGAAGGAAGAAGTCAAACTATTCCAATTTGCAGATGACATGCTTCATATTTAGGGGATGCAAAAGACTCCACTAAGAGACTACTGAAACTCATAAAAGAGTTTGGTAAAGTGGCAGAATATCAAATTAACACACAAAAATCAAATCAATAGCTGATCTATACATAGACAATGCCATAACAGCTACAAAAATTCATACCTTCAAATAAATTTAACCAAGGATGTCAAAGATTTCTATGATGAAAATTACAAAACATTAGAAAGTGAAATAGAAGAAGACATAAAAAGTAGCAAAATCTTCGATGTTCATGGTTTGGAAGAATCAAAATCATGAAAATGTCTGTACTACCAAAAGCAATTTACAGATTCAATTCATTCCTAATCAAAATACCCATCAGATTTTTCTCAAATTTAAAAAGAATGATGCTAAAATACATAAGGAAACACTAGAGACCCTGAATAGCTAAAGCAATGTTAAACAATAAAAAAAAAGCTGGAGGCATCACAATACCAGACCTCAAGATATACTATAGGGCAGATATAATATAAACACATTGGTGCTGGCACAAAAACAGATGTATAGACCAATGGCATAGAATAGAAACTCCAGAAATCAATCCATGCATCTACAATGAGCTTACTTTTGACAAAGAAGATAAAATCAATCCCTGAAGAAAGAACAGTCTCTTCAACAAATGGTGTTGGGGAAACTGGATCTCCTCATGCAGAAATATGAAATAAGACCCCTACTCTACACTTTACACAAAATTCCACTCAAAATGGATCAGGAGCTAAATCTATGTCTCAATCCCATCAAATTAATAAATAACATTGAGGAAACTCCATAGTATATTGGCATAGACAAAGATTTCTTCGAAAAGACCCCAGAAAAGCACAGGCAATCAAAGCCAAAACTGACAACCGGGATTGCATCAAACAGGGAAGCTTCTGTACTTAAAATGTAACACTCAGCAAAGTGAAGAAGCTCCGACAGATTGAGAGAAATATTTGCAAATTATGCAACTGATAAAAGATTAATATCCACAGTTTATAAAGAGCTCAAGAAACTCAATCACAACAAAACAAAAAATCCAGTTAAGAAATGGGCAAAGGACTTTAACAGGCATTTTTCAAGAGTGGGAATTCAAATGGGCAACAGGCACTTGAAAAAATGCTTAACATTCTTCATTTTGATTTATTTAAGGACCATAAATTTCATGGATTCCATACATACATATTTAGGAACATAGTGATTCTACCCACCCTCCATCCCACCCATACTCCCACTTGTCTTCCTCTTCCCCATCCTCTTTCCATTCTTATTTTTCACAAATATCTATTTTCAGTTAACAAACACATAAGATTAACCTTATACTAGTTAAAGAGTTCAACAAATAGTATGAAGGAATAAAATTAGTATGAAGGACAGTACTGACCCAGTAGAGTCAGGCATTCATGGCTACAATTTATTTTATTTATTTTTTTTTGACAGGCAGAGTGGACAGTGAGAGGGAGAGACATAGAGAAAGGTCTTCTTTTGCCGTTGGTTCACCCTCCAATGGCCGCCGCGGACAGCGCGCTGTGGGCAGCGCGCCGCGCTGATCCGAAGCCAAGAGCCAGGTGCTTCTCCTGGTCTCCCATGGGGTGCAGGGCCCAAGCACTGGGCCATCCTCCACTACACTCCCTGGCCAAAGCAGAGAGCTGGCCTGGAAGAGGGGCAACCGGGACAGAATCCGGCACCCCGACCAGGACTAGAACCCGGTGTGCCGGCGCCGCCAGGTGGAGGATTAGCCTGTAAGCCATGGTGCCGGCCCATGGCTACAATTTATTGGGTTAAAAAAGTTTTAAAGAATCAGTGAAATGCAAATCAAAACCACAATGAGTTTCACTCCAGTTAGAATGGCTCTCATACAGAAATCAACAACAATAAATGTTCACAAGGATGTGGGGGTAAAGGTACCCTAATCCACTGTTGGTGGGAATGTAAACTGGTGCACCTGCTGTAGAAGATAGCATGGAGATACTTCAGAAATCTCAATATAGACCTACCATATGATCCAGCCATCCCACTCCTGGGAATTTACCCAAATGTAAAGATACTGGCAAATGAAAGAATAACCTGTACACCATGTTTATTACAGCTCATATGAAATGAACCAAGATGTCCATCAACTGAAGACTGGGTAGAGAAATTATGCTATAAATACACTATGGAATAATATACTGGGGTAAAATGAAATAATTTCTTTTGTTACAAAATGGATGTAACTAGAAACGATTACTTAGAGTAAAAAGCCTATCTCAAAAAAGACAAATACCTGTGTTCTTTCTGATCTGTCATAACTAATAGAGTATGTAAAATGTAATCTACTGGGATGAAATTGACATTTTGAGATGTGATGATTTTGAACAGCTCGTCTTGAGTACTGAGGAGCAGTGTTTTTTGTTGTTGTTCTTCATACTATTTGTTGAACTCTTCACTTAGTGTATGGTTAACCTTGTGTGTATAAAGTTAACTGAAAATAGAAATTTGTTAAAAATAAGAATAGAAAGAGGAGAGGAAGGAGGAAGAATGGTGGGATTATGGGTGGAATATAAGGTAGGAAGAATTACTATGTTCCTGAATTTGTATACATGATGCATGATGTTTGTGTTCCTTAAATAAATCAAAATGAAAAAAGTTAAAGTCTTCAAAAATAGATGTTCCATTTCTGAGTCAATTCTGAATGAACCATCTTCTACCATAAAATATACATGAATTGAAGTTCTACAGATAATTTAAAGCACCAAGCATTGTTATACCTAGATATGTGCATAAAATTAAATTCACTATGCGTTCTGCTACATCATTTCTAGTAGTATAGATGGACTAAAAGCTTCTATGTTAAAATAAAAGAAAATCCCCTTGACTGCCACATTTTTTTGTCAAGTATCTTAACCTTACTGCAGTATTGATATAGTTGAGTATTCTCTTGTTTGGCTTGTAGACTACACTATTCTTTCCTATTTTCATTAAAAGTAGTCACCATTAACATTGCTTCACTGGAAAGTAAAGAATTCATAGATTTTACCTTTTAAGACGATCGAGCTCACTCAAATTGTTGTCATAAATCACTTGCAGTAGACTTCTAGTGAGTGAAAAGCCATTCTCTATCACTGGTCTAATCCCATACTCCATGGAAGTCACTTTTTCATTTTCATTTTTTATTTCCTTTATATGCAAGGCAGGGCAGCTATTTTAAAAAGATCATTAACATGGCAATGTTTTTTACTCTACTGGGAAAGATTAAAGAAGCACAATTTTGACAAAATTCTTATTCTTCCCCAACTTAATTCATTTACTAACTCAAAACATGATAGGAAGTGATAACTACATGTAAAGAAAGGTGTACAGGAAATTTAAAAAATTACATGAAAATTGGGTGAAAAGTAGTTTTGATACAAAAACTTTGAAATCCAGGATGAATAATTTTTTTTTGACAGGCAGAGTGGACAGTGAGAGAGAAAGAGACAGAGAGAAAGGTCTTCCTTTGCCGTTGGTTCACCCTCCAATGGCCGCCGCGGACAGCGCACTGCGGCCGGCGCACCCGCGCTGATCTGATGGCAGGAGCCAGGTACTTATCCTGGTCCCCCATGGGGTGCAGGGCCCATGTACTTGGGCCATCCTCCACTGCACTCCCTGGCCACAGCAGAGAGCTGGCCTGGAAGAGGGGCAACCGGGACAGAATCCGGTACCCCGACCGGGATTAGAACCCGGTGTGCCGGTGCTGCAAGGCGGAGGATTAGCCTAGTGAGCCGCGGCGCTGGCCAGGCTGAATAATTTTTATAACATGCATTTTATACACTTACTGAACACACTTTGTTATATCTTCTTTGGAAAACAGGTAAAAACACAATTATGATATAAGGTAATATGGAAGGGTTGATATTGGGGGGGTGGTGTTTCACCTATTCGTTAATAAGCAGGGGGCTGGCGCTGTGGCATAGTGGGAAGAGCACTGCCTGCAGTGTTGGCATCCCATATGGGTGCCAATTTGAGTCCCTGCTGCTCCACTTCTGATCCAGCTCTCTGCTGTGCTCTGGGAAGGAAGCGGAAGATGGACCAAGTCTTTGGGCCTGTGTACCTCCTTGGAAACCCGAAGGAAATTCCTGGCTCCTGGTTTCAAATCAGTGCAGCTCTAGCCACTGTGGCCATTTGAGGAGTGAACCAGCAGATGGAAGACCGCTCTCTGTCTCCCTTTCTCTGTCACTCTGTAACTCTGCCCTTTAATAATAAATCTTTATATATGTGTATATAAACATATATATATATATGTTTATACATATATAAACATACAGGGTAAGACATTCTTGTCCCATATCAAAGTGCCTGGATTTGAATCCTGGATTCACTATCAATTCCAGCTTTATAATATACTGGGAAACACCAGAAGATTGGTCCAAGTAGTTTAATCCCTGCCACTTTTATGCAAGACATGGTTTGGGTTGCTGACTATGGGCTTAAGCCTGGCTCAGTTATGGCCACTGAGGGAATTTATGGGGTGTATTAGAAGAGGGGAGTTATCTCTGACTGCTTCAGATTCTTTTTTAAAAATATTTATTTATTATTATTTGAAAGGCAGAGTTACAGAGAGGCAGAGAGAGAGAGAGAGAGAAGTCTTCCATCCACTGATTCATTCCCCAAATGGTTGCAATGGTGAGAGCTAGGCTGATCTGAACCCAGGAGCCAGAAGCTGATTCCAGGTCTCCCACACAAGTGCAGGGACCCAAGGACTTGGGCCATCTTCTACTGCCTTCCCATGCCATAGCAGAGAGCTGGATCAGAAGTGGAGCAGCCGAGATTCAAATCAGCACCCATATATGATGCCAGCACCTCAGGCAACTGGCTTCAGCAGCTACGCCAGAGTGCCAGCCCCTGTTTCAGACTCTTAAATAAAAAAGTGTTGATATTGGAAACTGATATCTGAGCACAGGAAAGCTTTACAAAGGAGGTAAAAAAAAAAAGGAAAAAGAACTCATGAGGGAAAAATGTGGATGAAAACCATTTTATTTACAGAATGTGCAAACAAAGAGTAGGCATATGATATCTGATATATTTCTTTGGAATTTGCAAGAAAAATATAAAATACCTAAATCTATCATTGAGAGATGAGGCCTACACTAATTTTGAATGCTACACTAAAATATAGAGGTCCACAGTCTGTAAGCATAATATTCAGGTTTGGAAGTAGCAGTTATAATTGTGCTATATTTTTGGTTTTTTTGTGAAATATAATAATGCCAACCTTAGATGAAAATTTAACATTTAATTTTTTAATTTACTTTGACAGGCAGAGAGGCCGATGGAGTAGGAGGAGGGAGGGAGGAAGGAGCAGAAGAAGGGAGAGGGATCACCTATCCTCTGGGCCAGGGTGAAGTCAGGAGTCCAGAAATCAATCATTGTTTCCTGCCTGGGTGCATGGACCCAAGTACTGGAGCCATCATCTGTTGATTTCCAGGATATTATATTTTATTATATAAGGTATAATAAAACATATATGTATATATAATAAAACATATATACATACACACATAAATGTAGACTACTAGAGTCAAAAGATTACAAATGTATATAATTGCCAACTAAAATAAATAGAATGAACCCAGATAAAATCAATTTTTAAGTGAGTATTATTCTAATGTCTAAGAAAACTCGAAGGATAAGCTGCATTCACTCAAGTAATAAAAAATTATTGAGTAGCTGCTCACTGCATGCATGTTAGGGCCTCTTCTACGTACAAAAGATATGGTAGTGAAAAGACAAAATCCAACACAAAAGAGTAAAGCAAAAACATTAGCAATGAACAAGCTATATAAAAACAAAATACAGTATGTTAGAGGAAGAGAACAAAAGCAGAGAAACGATGTTTTCCATGTTTAAGGGAGGTGTGGACATATTAGAAGGCCAAAGAAGATCTTGCTTAGGAAGAAAAAAATTGAAGGAAGGAAAGGAATCAGCCAGGTGGACATCTAAGGAAGAATCTTCAAACACAGAAGGAGCCCAGGTATGTTTAAGGAATAGTGAAAATTTCTGTAGCATAAGTAGAATGAGGAGATGGAAAATCACAAATTTAAATCACAGCGATAAGGATGAGTGAGGTCACAACATGTATTGCCTTGTAGGCATTAGAAAGAAGTTTAGTATGTGAATTCAAATGAAATCACTAGGTTTTAAGTAGAAAAAAATGATATAATCTGACTTTAAGAGATCCCCTGTGTTAAGATTTAATGAAAAGAGGATTTATGAAAAAATAAAGAAGAAAATCACTGAGGAATCTACAAACTAATATAGACAGCAGCTGATGCTGACTTGGATATGATGTATCTAGCTTCTGGACATATTGTGAAGGTATACTTGACAACATGTGCTGTCACATAAAGGCTGAGGCATAAGAATGCTCCAAGGCTGTTGGTAGAACAGATGAAAGAGTTGCCATTCGCTGAAGTAGGAAAAACTATATGAGGGGCTGCTATGAACAAGAACATCATTAGCACAGCACTAGGCTAAATTTTAAATACTGAATAAATGACCAAAGAGAAGTGTTGAGTAGGCAGGTTATTATCTAAAATATGGAATTAAGGAGAGAGATCTAAGTTGCAGTTAAAAATTCATAATTCATTTGCATAAACAAGATAGTGAAACCATGAGAGAAAAGATCAAAGACAGCCTTGGGAAATATCCATGTTTTAAAAGTAGAAGATGAGAGAAACAAGGGAAACAACACAGGATGGAGTAGACAAGAAACAGAAAGAGATTGGTTGAGAATTATATCCTGAAAGCCAAGTCAAGAAATGATCTTGAAGGAAAAGTGTTCTACAGACATAATAAACTGTTACAAAATCTAAGCTGAGACTTAATGCCCAAATATGTTTAGCTTGTCCTAAAATAGTCTGTCCACAAATATAACACCATAAGTAATTGTTATTTTCCTATTGTTTCAAACTATATTGACAAAATGTATTATTTGAAGAGAATTTTTTAAAGATGTTTTACCCTCAAAGGATCAAATATTTTGAGTGGTTAATTAAAATGAGAGCCTGTGACAGCACTTTGCCACAGAGGGTTAAGCCACCATATGAAGTGCCACCATCCCATATGGGCCAGTTCGAGTCCTGATTTCTCTGCTTCCAATTCAGCTCCCTGCTAAGGTGCCTGGGAAATCAGTGGAGGACTGTCCAAGTTTTTGGGCTCATGCAACCATATGAGAGACCTGAAACAAATGCCTGGCTTCAGGCTGGCCCAGGTCCAGCCATTGCTGCCATTTGGGGAGCAAACCAGTGGATGCAAGATCTCTCTGTATCTCTTTCTCTGTCCCTCTAACTAGAAAGAGAGAGAGAGAGAGAGAGAGAGAGAGAAGAGAGAGAGAGAGAAAGAGAGAAAAAGAGAAAAATAGAGAAAAAAGAAAGAAAGAAAGAGAGAGAGAGAAGGGAGGGAGGGAGGGAAGGAAGGGGGGAAGGGGAAAGGGGAGAAGGAGGGAAGAAAGGAAGGAGGGAAGGAATATTTAATGAAAAGAAAAGGAGACCTTGGAAAGTACTACAACATAGATTAAAAATCAGTGGCAATCCAGAGAAAACCTGTTTTGGAGGGGTTGTGGGAATGTAAACAACTGGAGTGAGTCCAAGAGTGAAGAGAAAGTCAATTTGAGTCAGTGAATAGAGACAGTTCTCCCAAGGAGATCACTGCTAAGGCCATGATCATTGAAGATCTATTTTTCTCCATGTTTAACTGAATTTTTCAATCCTCGCATAATGGTTTTAGGGAATATTTGCGATTCTCTAAAGTTGTTGGAACTAAAAATGTTCTGATCAAAGCAGTAAATAATTCATAAACTTAAGGAAGTGAATTCCTTGAAAAGTTCCTCATTAGGTATTATATAACTGAATATTATTATTCTGCTGATAATATTGAAAATCTAAATTTTTCAAGGGCGACTTTTGGGTTGCTTAAAAGCCAGGAGGCAGGAGATTCTTCCATGTCTCCCACATGGGTGCAGAGTCCCGTGCACCTGGGCCATCTTTGGCTGCTTTACCAGGCAAGTTAGTACAGAGCAGGATCAGAAGAGCAGCCAGGATTTGAACTGGCACCCATATGGGATGACAACACTGCAGGTGGAAGTTTAAGTTGTATGCCACTGCACCAGCTCCACAACTAGAGTTTTTGTAAGCTCTATTTGATGTCACTCCTGAAAAATACAGTATGATACATTCTGAAACATTCTTTAGCCTGTAGTCCATCTTCTAAAGGAAGATTTATTGCATTAGCAGTACCAATGTTTTGGCATAGGTTCAGTAAAACCGTGCCCAAGAATAAATCCAGCTGAATCTTTCCTAGTACTGTTCATAAAGTTTTATTGATATTAAGCCACACTAATTACCTTATAGTCTATGGAGGATTTCGCACCACAACTATAGAGACCTTCTGATGCAAAAAGCCTAAAATATTCATTATCTGGTTCTTTACAGAAAAAGTTTACAACTCCTGCTTTAGCTGATCAAACATCCTTTGACGCATTTGAGAAGGTTTACCTAACAAACTGAAATGCTTATAAGGAATATGGACCACAGTATGCAAATACCCAATAATGCTCAAATTATTTTATAGATTCTATATTTTAATATTTAGGCTCAAATTGGGATCAAAACTCAAAAATAAAGTAGGTATTGGTTATAAGAAGTACAAGTGTCCCATGGACTCCCCTTTTGCAACTCAGCAGATATGGTATTTTAATAAAATATGCTTAAGATGCATCACCAAACTAGTCACATTAAATATTCTCTAGTTGTGAAAAAGCAGTGTACTATAGATAAAACCTCATTTTTAAAAATGGTTGCATATTGCATTCTTTTATTGGTATGACAATTTATTTCTATTTTGATTGGTATTTAGACTGATTCTAGGCCGGCGCCGCGGCTCACTAGGCTAATCCTCCGCCTAGCGGCGCCGGCACACCGGGTTCTAGTCCCGGTCGGGGTGCCGGATTCTGTCCCGATTGCCCCTCTTCCAGGCCAGCTCTCTGCTGTGGCCAGGGAGTGCAGTGGAGGACTGGCCCAGGTGCTTGGGCCCTGCACCCCATGGGAGACCAGGAAAAGCACCTGGCTCCTGGCTCCTGCCATCGGATCAGCACGGTGCGCTGGCCGCAGCGCGCCGGCCTGCGGCGGCCATTGGAGGGTGAACCAACGGCAAAGGAAGACCTTTCTCTCTGTCTCTCTCTCTCACTGTCCATTCTGCCTGTCAAAAAAATAAAACAATAAAATAAAAAATAAAAATAGACTGATTCTAAATTGTTGATAAACAATGTTATTGTAAATGTCCTATACATATGTACATGGGCAACATGTTTTATTAACCTATTTTCATTTTATTTGGAAGGCAGAGAAACAGATCTAGATAGACTAGCATATTAAAGATTTTCCATCTGCTGTTTCATTCACAAATACCCAGGACAGCCAGGACTGGGAAAGAATCCCCAAGGGTCTGCATTTCCACCCAGGTCTCTTAAGGGGGTGTGGACACCCAAGTACTGGAGCCACCATCTACTGCCTCCCATGAGATACACTCTTAGGAAGGTAGATAGGGGCCGGCGCCATGGCTCAATGGGCTAATCCTCCATCTGCGGCGCTGGCACACAGGGTTCTAGTCCTGGTCAGGGCACCGGATTCTGTCCCGGTTGTTCCTCTTCCAGTCCAGCTCTCTGCTGTGGCCAGGGAGTGCAGTGGAGGATGGTCCAAGTGCTTGGGCCCTGCACCCCACGGGAGACCAGGAGAAGCACCTGGCTCCTGGCTTTGGATCAGCGCGGTGCGCCGGCCGCAGCGCACCAGCCACAGCGGACATTGGAGGGTGAAACAACAGAAAAGGAAGACCTTTCTCTCTCTCTCTCTCTCTCTCACTGTCCACTCTGCCTGTCAAAAAAATAAAAATAAAAAAAATAAAGGAAGGTAGATAGGAAGCAGAGAAGTATGGACTCAGACCACCTTCATATAGGAAGAGTGCATGTCACTGGCCCTGCAACATATTTGTATAAATATCTTTATCATATGTGTTTTACATCCTTAACACTAATTGTCCTATTACATCTTACATAATAGATGATGACAATACATCATAAATGTCATTAACTTATGGGTGTAGTAGGGTACAATAGACCATACTATGCTATCTTGTCAGGTCTAATCCCAGAGTGAAGTTGCTACAAGGGCAAAGAATGGTTTATTTCAAATTTTGACATGTGCTCTTAAGCTACCCTTCAAAGAGTCTTATAATTGTATTTACCAACAGTAGATAATAACTTTTCCCTCACATTTGCCAACTATTAACTTTTAAACAAATACTTAGCAGTATGGTTTGCAAATATTATTTGTTTCTTGATATATTTCTAATTCCAAAGCATGGAATAAAATCCTTAGTAAAAATATGTTAATCATAGATAATAACCCAATTAGAAGTGGCTTTATAGCACAATAAAAATCACATCACCTAATGTTAAATATTGCTATAGACTTACGAATAATATTCTTCACTCTTCTTAGTGGCAGATTGCTGGTTGTCAAGGTCCCCACTCTGTCTCTGCTGATTCAGTCCACAACCATCACTGTCATCAGGAGGAGCAGCACTTTCATGCAAGTTTCTTAACACTTCCATTTCCTTACTTTGGCAACGCTGCCCTTTTTCTTCAAACTTTAATGAAAGTTTCATATTAAAATCGCTTGTTAGTACATAAATATAAACATTTTTGTGTTCATTTATTATTCATTTTATGTAGCACATTTATTGCTACATAAATGTTTTACATACACTGTTTTCTACTACAGTGACAGAAAAAAATTTTGAACATCCTGCTACTGGTTGGAAAAAGTTTATCAATAATACTTTGGATATTACACATGTTACAATTCTTCAATAAAACAACAATGGAAACTGGAGAAACAATTCACCTCCAATAATTAGCTCTTACAATACACCACAGGCAATAGACAGTGTGCTAGAATCCTACAATGGTCTTAAAATGCTAATGTAAATTTCTGGTATTATTGATATTATTACTTTTTTTTGACAGGCAGAGTGGACAGTGAGAGACAGAGAAAGAGAGAAAGGTCTTCCTTTTGCCGTTGGTTCACCCTCCAATGGCCGCCGTGGCCGGCGCACCGCGCTGATCCAAAGGCAGGAGCCAGGTGCTTCTCCTGGTCTCCCATGGTGTTCATGTTCAGGTAGGGTTATGATAAATAACCCTACACTTCTTAAATATTTATTTACATATGAGAGAGAGAGAGCACTTTCATCTGTTGGTTCCTTCCCCAGATGGCTGCAATGGCAAACACTGGGCAAGGCTGAAGTCAAGTGTCAGGAACTGCATCCAGGACTCCCAGATCAGTAGTAGGGGGCCAAGCACTTGGGTCTTCCTCCACTGTCTTCCTCACGCCATTATCAGGGAGTCAGATTGGAAGTAAGAAGCCAGATTATGAATTGTCACCAAGTGGGATGCTGGCATCAAAGGTGGCAGCTTTACCCACTATGTAACGTCAGTTCCCTTTTAAAATATTTATTTATTTATTTGAAAGTAACAGAGAAAGACAACCCTATAACTTAACTACATTGTAATAAACTTTAATCCTGGAAACATCAATTTTGAAAAAATCTAGAAAGACCAACATTTAGAATTCAAGAAATTTCCTTACAACATTATTGGATAAAAAGATTAGCTATTATGCAAAATGAGCCCATTTTTTCTATTTTATGAAGGAAAGCTTATGAGCATAGTGCCAAGTGTATACAGTGAAAAACACAGCAGTCTCTAAGAAAACAGGACAAGCAGTGGCATATGAATATGCCACACATCATAAGCAACAACTTCTGTTTAAGTGCTTCACACAGAAATGAAGAACCAAGCCAGAGTCTGATATAACTAGAGAAAGAACACAATTAAAGGGACCAAAAATTCACTAGGTTAACAAAGGCCTGATTTGCTAGGAATCATCCTGATGGGAGGATCTAAATTCTTTTTAACTGGGTTTGCTCTTCAAAGTAACAAAAATTTTAAGATTGTTGATACTGGCACAAGGAATTAATTGTCCAAGATAATCATGTTTAACGTATTTTTTATCCAAGAACTGTTGAGGAGGAAGATGTACTTCATGGAAGTTCAAAGTGATTACTGCACCTAAGACACTCGCCATGAATTCTAGTCAATGAAATGTATTTGTGCTGCATGTTATATACTTTAGTTTCAGCATTACAGCTCATGGAAATTTTGGTGCATTCTGCTTCATTTCTGAATTTAAAACTTTTGACAATTCTCCAAAATGTCAAAGATGGTACTTCCTCATTTTATGCTTTTATTTCTATCCACATTTCACTATCTAGTATGTTTAGTAACCTGTATGGAAGCAATAAGAGAAACACGTAAAATATGTCACTTTCTGTCACTGTCACCTGGATTTTATATTAACCATCCAGATTTACAGGATTTGATGATGCAGGTCTCTAGTAACAGCAAGGAGGCTTCCCCTCTGTGCTCTAAGCTATTTTTTCTCTCATTGCTTTTATAATTATTTTTTCCATAGACAATAACTTTTAAAGTATTCACAGATCATTAAAACTTTAATAGTATAACATTCTTAACCATTGTGTTCACAAAGGTGTAAAACAAAGCTTTAGAAAACTATGTTGCCAGGCCGGTGCTGTGTCCTTGGGCCCCTGCACCCATGTAGGAGGCCCGGAAGAAGCTCCTGGCTCCTAGCTTCGGATCAGCGCAGTTCCAGCCATTGTGGCCATCTGGGGAGTGAATCAGAGGATGGAAGACCTCTCTCTTTGTCTTTACCTCTCTCTGCAACTCTGTCTTTCAAATAAATAAAGTAAATCTTAATTTAAAAAAAAACTACGTTTCCAGCAATATTTTTCCCTTTAGATCCTGGGATATTTGATATTCAGAAAAGGGATACATGCTCACTAAAATATATCCGTCCAAGTTTGCCACACCTCAAAAGAGGGAATGTCATGAATTGTTAGTGAGAGATACTGAAAAATAAGCTTCCCTCATTTTACAGTCACTAAGCATATAATTTCATAGATGGAAGGCATGAAGTAATTAAGTGTTCTGGCCCCATTATCTACCGATAATGGGAATAAAACTTCAAAAGGTTAAATGATTCAGACAAAGTACACAGAGTGGCTTTTCCTAGCATTTTATGGCACTAACAGAAAACACACATTCTATAACACTGAATCAGATACATTACCAGAGAAAATAACCAAATTAATCACAGAAATGAGCAGTGTGACTTTGTCAAAATACTCCAATGCCTTCAGGGTGAGGAGCGTGAAGAGAGGCTTTATCTACCCTTACCTATAAGAGGATATCTGTAGATTTTTACATACCTATAAAACTGTAAGTACTCCAGAATGTAGCATCCTAATTTAGAGACAAACATTGAACTTCTGGTGGTGGTTTATGATACTTATAAAAGTCTAATTCACCAGAAATATTTGTGTAAGCATAAAAGTTACATGAAAGTGTATGTAAGTGTTTGAAAAATCTTTAAAATAGTCATGTTGGAACACAAAGTTCCATGTACTTTAACTGAATCAGATAAAGTTGTACAATAGACAAGGCACAATAAACAGACTCACTATGCTTGTAATATGTTTTACAACACTCAAGGCCAGGTACATGCTAATATTCACTCTCAAACAATGGTTCCTTCCCATGGTATGCTCACTGGATCCCACATATTCATATTTTAATATGTAATCAATACAATTCACACAAGATGATCCAAGTAGTTGGTTTCCTGAACCCGCATAAGGGACTCAGATGAAGTTTCTGGCTCCTGATTTAGGTCTAGCGCAGTCCTGGCCAAGGTGGCCAATTGTGGAGTGAAACAGTTGATTAAAGCTCACTCTTGCTCGTGCTCTCTCTCTTCCTCTCTCTCTCCCTCCCTCCCTTCTCCCATATCTCCCTCCTCCCTCTTCCAAAACTCTGCTTTTCAAATAAATAAGTGAATCTTTAAAAAATAGATAACTGTAATTTATTGTTAAGCCAATCAAAATGGCTAGGGCTTATTAAAATTTTTTAAAAAAATCTTTATACTTATTCTGGTTCAGAAAGTCATAGAGTATTCAGTTAAATTATTTGCCCAGGTTAAAGGTCACTGGGAAGAATTAAATATAAAAACTATGAAGATTGTTTTAACTGTAATTTAGAGAGCAACATCATTGTGTACATAAGCTTTTTCTAGGTAGAAAATCACAATGGATCAGGTAATTGACACAGGCAAATAGTAGAGTATCAACAAGGGAACCTCTCTGTATTTTGCAAGTTAAACTTTTTCACCAAGGCCAGAAACTACTTGTAATGAGACTACCTCATTCTTTTTAAAATCTACTTTAATGTATTGGAAAGTCAGAGAGAGGGAGAGAGAGGGAGAGGGGGAGAGAAAGAGACAAACTCTGCTGGTTCTCTACAACTACCCACAATAAGCATGACTAGGCCAGGCAAAGGCCAGAAGCTGGGAACCTAAAGGTACATCTCTCACAGGAGCGTGAGAGAAACAAGTACTTGAGCCATCACCTGCTTCCCAGGGTATGCATTACTGGAAGACAGAACTGGAGCAGCACTTGGACATAAACCCTGGAACTGTGATATGGAATGTTAGTATCCCAAGTGGTATCTTAATGACTATGACAAATGTCCATCTTATCCTACCTCATTCTTAAATCTACACATATTTTGCTGCAGTACTTCATTTTGATGTTTTGTCCCTATGTGAGGGAGAAGAACAAATAATTTCTTTTTTTTTTAATTTTTTTTTGACAGGTAGAGTTATAGACAGGGAGAGGGAGAGACAGAGAGAAAAGTCTTCCTTTGATTGGTTCACTCCCCAAACGGCCGCCTCAGCCAGTGCTACGCTGATCCGAAGCCAGGAGCCAGGTGCTTCCTCCTGGTCTCCCATGTGGGTGGAGGGCCCAAGGACTTGGGCCATCCTCCACTGCCTTCCCGGGCCACAGCAGAGAGCTGGACTGGAAGAGGAGCAGCTGGGACTAGAACCCAGGGCCCATATGGGATTCTGGCGCCACAGGCGGAGGATTAGCCAAGTGAGACATGGTGCCGGCCCGTGTGATAGGTTTTTAAAATGTTATTGAACACCATATCTAGAATTGTTTGCCTCTTTCAAGAAAATGATTAGCTATATGATACAACAGCTTCTAAGATTTTGTCTAATAAGCAGTTAACATGTTTTTAATTAAGCATTAAATTATGATCTTTTGATACATATATACACACCTACATATATTATATACATATATATAAATATCTGGTATGGAAAGTCATTTTGATTGGTATATGCTATGATACACACAAAAATATGAAATCAGAAGTTTATGTTTTTACATACCTGCTTATTTTCACTTCCATCAAGCCATTCTTGTTCTTCCTTGGGTGCTGTTTTAATGTCATTATTTGTTGGAGAAGACTTGACATTTTTTAACTCAGGTTCTGTGCTTTTATATTGATTAGTATTGCAGTGAGGAAGGAAATGCCTCTTGAGATGTTTTGGTATTGGTTTTAACTTGATTCTGCCTGTAACTACAAAACACTAGACTTTATTATTTGAATCATATGCTTCAATTGTTTAGTTTGGGTAAGCCAGAAGTCCAAAATGTTTTCTGGGCCACTGAGGTGAGGCACATATCCAGGGTCTAATTCAATTAGTGATATTTTGTTTAATATTTTTTTGGCATTTACACAGGTAACTCTAGTGTCCCTTACAGATCTATATTTCTACTTAAATATGTTAATTATCAGTGAGAGGAAAGCTACAATCTTAAAAAATAGCAAATAACTCATTTTATCAATCGAAAGCTTAAGCTTAATCTTTCATTGAATATTTAATTCTTTAAGAAATACCTCTGACTTCCAAATTATCAGCAAACAACTTGAGGAGACAGCAGATATCTTCCTGTGTACTAAATATAATCATGTAAGCCACTCAGAAGTTTATGCTAAATACCAGCCCACACAAAATTATCTATACTCTTGTCTCTATTGTTATATGTGAACTCGAGCTCAAGAATAAAAATGATTTTCTGAATTATATCCTGTTGACTTTAGGTGGCATAAGAGGAGTAATCCAAAAGTGAACCCTGGAACAAAATGATGTTTGAAAGTCACACTATGAAATTATGCAGTCACACAGAAGTGCTCCAGGGTTAAATTCTGTGCTCTGATTTCCTCAGCTATTACTTTTATCTGTCCATGAGATTCCATGGATATTGATGGATTTTTGGTCACAGAGTTAATAAAACAGTTATGTATCATCAATTGTCAAATTTGTATATCTTTGACAACTCTTATTACTGAGAATCAAAGGATAATCAAACTAGTAGGCAGCTGGGGGCAGAATCACAGTCTGAAAAACTTAAAAGTTATTTTTTCAACCATAAGAATGAAAATAATACAAATAAGATTAACATATACAAATACATTAATTAAAAATTAGTTTAGCTCCAATAGAGAAGCAAAGTACACAGAATCTCAGAATGCTCTAACTGGTATTTATCTGAAATATTTTTATCATTTTTATAAAAGATAAACTATCATATTTAAATATTTTAAGACAAGTCTAGAACAAAATCAGAAAAACAGAAAAAATTGTTATAGAATGCTATTATTTAATAAATATAAATTTTTAAATACAACTTTTGGATGATAGTGGTTCTTCCCCCCATAACTTCCCTCCCACTTGCAACCATCCCATTTCCTACTCCCTGTCCCATCCTATTCTTTATTAAGATTTATTTTTAATTATCTTTATATATAGAAGATCAACTCTATACTGAGTAAAGATTTCAACAGTTTGCACCCACACAGACACACAAAGTATAAAGTACTGTTTGAAGACTAGTTTTACCATTAATTCTCATAGTACAACACAGTAAGGACAGACGTCCTACAAGGGGAGCAAGTACACAGTGACTGCTGTTCTTGATTTAACAATTGACACTCTTATTTATGATGTTAGTGATCACCTGAGGCTCTTGTCATGAGCCGCCAAGGCTATGGAAGCCTCTTGAGTCCACAAACTCTGACATTATTTAGATAAGGCCATAGTCAAAGTGGAAGTTCTTTCCCACCCTCAGAGAAAGGTATCTCCTTCGTTGATGGGTCGTTCTTTCCACTGGGATCTCACTCACGGAGATCTTTCATTTAGGTCATTTTTTGCCAGTGTCTTGGCTTTCAGTGCCTGAAATACTCTCATGGACTTTTTAGCCAGATCCAAATACCTTAAGGGCTGATTCTGAGGCCAGAGTGCTGTTTAGGGCATCTGCATTCTATGAATCTGCTGTGTATCCTGCTTCCCATGTTAGGGCATCTGCCATTCTATGAATCTGCTCTGTATCCCACTTCCCGTGTTGGAGTGTTCTCTCCTTTTTAATTCTATCAATTATTATTAGCAGACACATATTATTTATGTGATCCCTTTGACACTTAATCCTATCTTTATGATCAAATATGAACTTAAACTAGTTAAACTTAAACACTTTAACTAGTAAGATAGCATTGGTACCTGTGAACTTAATGGGATTTGGAGTCCCATGGCAAGATTTTAGCTTTACCCTTTAGGAGTAAGTCCTGAGGGATCATGTGCCAAACTGTACATCTCCTCCCTATCTTATTCCCACTCTTATTTTTAACAGAAGTCAATTTTCAATTGCATTTAAACACCTAAGAATAACTGTGTATTAAGTAAAGAGTTCAACCAATGGTATTAAGTAGAAAAAGAAAATATTAAAAAGAATAAAATAGTAAGCTGTTCCTCGATAGTCAGGACAAAGGCTGATCAAGTCATTGCTTCTTGTGTCAGTTTCACTTTTACAGGTTTCCTTTTAAGTGCTCAGTTAGTTGTCACAGATCAGGACATATGATATTTTTCCCTTTGGTACTGGCTTATTTCACTCAGCATAATATTTTCCAGATTACTCCATTTTGTTGCAAATGACCAGATTTCATTTTTTACCACTGTGTATTATTCCATAGAGTACGTATTTCATAATTTATCTATCCAGTCTTCTGTTCATGGGCATTTAGGTTGATTCCATGTCTTCGTTATTGTGAATGAGCTACAATTAACTTTGAGGTACAGATAGCTTTTTTATTTGCCAATTTAATTTCTCTTGGGTAAATTCTGAGGAATGGGATGGCTGGGTCAGTGTGGTAGGGTTATATTCAGAAGAAATAAAACTTTAAAGGTGATTCCATCACCAGGGACTGCATTAACATTTGGGTAAGACTACAAAGGGTTTCAAGTAGTAATTCTAAATTCTGATCCAAGTTCGGTATGTTCAGGTGCCAAAAAATCCAATCAAATAATTTTAGGTGTTAATTGCAATTTTCAATCCATTCTCTTAAAAGTGCAGAATCAACTTTTTCAGAGAGATATGCCATAAATACTATTAGTTGTAACAGTTAATGGGTCATGGATATTGGAATGTAGGACTCTGCATGCTTGTACTTAATTTTCCCAGTTTTCATATCTAATAAACTAACTATGAACAGAGCAGTCCACTAAGTAAAGGATCTCCAAATACTCACAAGGATTTTAATGGTAAAAGAACCCTAAGATGAGAATGTTTAAGAGTTCTAATTTACAATTAAATTATTTGGGGACACTAAATCAGTTCTTAAAGAAAATTTAAAGTATATATTTTTATTCTATATTGACACATCATTGTGGCATAGAATATGTTGTTTCCATATGTGTATTGTATTATACAATGTATAATGATCAGATTAGATCATTATTAGCATACCAGTCACTTCAAATATTTATTCTTTGGGAAAATTCCAAATCTTATTAACTATTTTGAGATTGCAGTTCCTCTTCTGTGCTTTAAAATGATTAAGTATTGTCTCTGTTCTCTGTAATCACACACACACACAAATGAGAGTATGCTAATCAGAACATCACTAGGATGGAACAATTAAAACAAATGAAATTTAGGAATAATGTTCCAATTTAGGTAAAGATCAGAATTCTATGACATTTTAAACCATGAAAATTTTAATATCTTAATTAACTTATGTCAATCCTAATAAAAGATAGGAATTTTAAACTAGGCACTTCAGGGTATCAAAAAATGAAAGGTATTTTTTAGCATCTCAGTTAAAGGTTACAGTCTCTAGATGAGAAATATATTTTTTTCAGACATGAATCTGAAAATGATATCTGCATTATTTGTGTCAAAACCTTTTATCAAATCTGCAGACAAAAATAATTTTTAGAATGAAGATTGAAGGCATTTCAAATACTGTGTTTCTTTCCAGATAACATTTGTACTGCAAAATTACCTTGTCTGCATGTTTGTACTTCATTCATTCCCACTGATGTTGCCCAAAAAGGATGTATTGCTTCCAGACGAGGCTGAAGGAGTTTTGAAACAAGATAGTTAACAATGCATATTTCATATAATATGTATTTAATTAGAGAAAAATGTAAAATACACATTATTACCAGCTATTGAGAATATTCAAGACAAAAATGTAAACGTTATTACCGTCAATTCAGTGGATCCCTTAGCAAACTCTAAAAAGCAAAAGAGATATACAGTCAATTATATGTAAATATGACAAGGCCAGACAATATATGGTGCAGGTTTAGCATTGCGCTAAGTCCACATGTGTGGCTATGGAAATGATTACTGTAGGTTTGGGGGAAGCGGTTTATATTTGGGGTGCTAGGAAAACAACATGCAAGATAGAAGTATATATAAAAACATACAAACCAGAGTTCTATCAAAAATAAGTTCCTAGTATTACACAGCATAGTTGAGCAACTATATCACAGTAACCTATCTTACAATGAAATAAAAGGAGTACCAAGCTTTAATAATATCATGTGAAAGAAAAGAACATGCCAATTACCCTGATCTCATCAAGATATGTTGTATACATATAATGAAATGTCACACTGAATTCCATAAACATATATAATAATTTTTAATAAAAATAAAAATAAAAAATCAAATAAAATTCAACAAAATAGACCTATGGGTTTAATAAAACACGCCACTAAGATTTCAAAACGTATGACAATGTCTCAAAAAGTATGACTGTTAATTAAGCAAAAAGGTACCCATATGCCAAAGTGAGCATGCTGAGTACTGGGGACAAATGTGATCTTTAATCAAAGGAACAAATCATGACCATGAGAGTCTAAGTGAGAAAGCTGATGGTCGAATGTGACAGCATACCTTTACTGTACACATCAGAATCATTTATTCTATTGTGCTACAATCGTTTTTCGGTGTCTCCTGTATTTTGGAAGCGTACAGTTGTGATGAAAGATGAATATATAATTCATTTCTTAGCAGAGAAAGTGGTCTGACCTCATCAATTGGTTTATATACTTGGCTTTAGATAGTAACACATAGTCACAGTTTTCTATAATTATGAGGACTACTGGTTTGTGTACATTTCTTTCCTCCTCTAGTTTAGCTTTGAAAGATTTTACTTATTTATCTGAAAGACGGAAGAAGATAGATGAGAGAGATAGAGAAATATCTTCCATCTACTCTTCAAATGCCCACAAAAGCCATGGCAACATCAAATGGAGGGGTCGGCACTGTGGTGTAGCAGGTAAATCAGCTGCCTGCTATGCCGGCATCCCATATAGGCACCAGTTTGAGACCCGGCTTCTCCCCTTCCAAACCAACTCTCTGCTGTGGCTTGGGAAAGCAGTAGAAGATGGCCCAAGTCCTTGGGCCCCTGCACCCACTTGGGAGACCCAGAAGAAGAAGCTCCTGGTTCCTGACTTCAGATCAGCTCAGCTCCGGCTTTGTGGCTATTTGGGGAGTAAACCAGTAGATGGAAGACTTATCTTCTCTTTCTCTCTCTCTCTCTCTCTGTGCATCTCCTTCTCTGTGTAACTCTTTCAATAAATAAATAAATTTAAAAAAAATCAAGTGGAAGCTAGGAGACTGGATTGCCTTCCAGCTCTCACACAAGTGTTGCAGAATCTCAAGTACTTGGGTCCATCATCCACTGCTTCCCAGGCAGTTTTTCAGGAGGATGAACCTTAAGTGTGGCACCCGAACATGGAATACAGGCATCCCAACAGGTGGCTTAACCTACAGTCCCACAGTGCCTAGCCCTAGTTAGATGTCTTAAAGATTTTATCCCCTGATTCAAGAAGGTACATAGAACATATATAAGTAATTGCATATAATATGCTTTTGACACAGAAACCTAGTCATCAAAAAGAATAAATTCACTAAGCTGCCAGAGAATTATTAATATCACTTTTTATTCTAAATCAATGCAATATTTACTGAAAAATTCTGGTATTGAAGGAATGAAGTCTATGATATCTTGTTTCCAAAACACATTTATTCTAGCATAGTATGCTAACTTTAATTTTGTGAAACTACTTTATAAAAAATTTAGCTATAAGATAAGCCAATGATTCAGTATTCAAATTTTTTCTCATTTAAATAGCATCCATGCAATTTATATCACTAGTGCTTTAGAATTAAATGAAGTTCAAATGAGTGGCTGCAATACCAGCACACCATCCTGTTTTTGGTAATCTCTGGAGCAGCAATAACCTAATGTGTTTAAATGTGAACATACAGAAGGCATCTGAAGTGAATATTCTCATGTTTCCTCATTAGTAACTCTAAATTTACCAGGTTCACTTCATTCTCTCTTCTTCCCTCTTCAGAATCATCCCTCCTTATCAAAAGTAATCTCTGGATCTGTGCTCTGGATTCTTCGCCTTACCATTAATTTTAGGGACTATCCACACCACTTATTTTCCCATTTATCGCTACAATTTACAGTTCTAACTTCTATTTCAACCTCCCTTCAACTCTCCTTGCCTTCCCCAGAGCCTCTCAAACTTTACTCCTTCTTGGCTTCCTTCTTTCCTCTCATTCCTGTTTCCAATTTCTCCCTCTCCTCTCCTCTCTTCCCCTCCCCTTCCCTCACCTCTCTTCCCCTCCCCTCTCCTTCCCTCTCCTCCCCCTTCTTCCCCTCCCCTTCCCTCTCCTCCCCCTTCTTCCCCTCCCCTTCCCTCTCATCTCTTCCCCTCCCCTCTCCTTCCCTCTCCTCCCCCTTCTTTGCCTCCCCTCCCCTCTCCTCACCTTCCCTCTCCTCTCTCTCTCCCCTCCCCCACTCTCCTCTCCTCTCCTTTACTTATCTCCACTCACTTCCCTCCCTCCATCCCTTCCTCCCTCCTTCCCTCCCTCCCTCCCTCCCTCTTTCCTTCCTTCCTTCCTTCCTTCCTTCCTTCCTTCCTTCCTTCCTTCCTTCCTTCCTTTCTTCCTCCCCTTTCATCCTCTGGATAGGAACATGCTGAGAAATAAAAACAAAAAATACTCTCCCTCTATCCTTTTAGTTCTTGAATACTTCTCCCAAGGTCCTTCTTTCAAATATCTCTGAAGGGAAACATATAACCCTAAAGCTCACCAGGGATCGTGATGAAAATGCAGAATCCCACATTTAAGGAAACAAAATGTGCATGCTGAATAAGGTCCCCAGAGATTCTTAAGTTTAAGAAGTTCTAGTCTTTACAAAGCTTCCTTATATATTCCTTTTCCTTAACTCCCCTTTCTGGAATGTAGCCTTAAGTTCATCCCTGCCACATCCCCCAAATTTAAATGGCATAAGATGTCATGGTTTAATGGGCTTTTTCTCAGGCAGTTAATTTTATTTCACCCTTTTCCCCATTCTAATTTCATTTAAAAAGACTAAAATTACCAAGTAATGAAATGACAAGTCAACCAGAAGAACAATAGAACATTCAGAAATACATGGAGATGGGCAAAGGACATGAATGGACAGTTCTCAAAAGAAGAAATACAAATAGTCAATACACACACACACACACACACACACATAAATATATATAATACTTAATATTACTAGCCATTAGGAAAATGCAATGAGAAAATTACCATGAGATATCACCTCAGCCCTCAGAATGGGGGCTCTCCCTCATTCTGAATCCTCATTCCCTGACTTTATTCTGATTGTAGGTTATCCTGAAATGGAGCTAATACTTCAGCTCCTCTGGGGCACTCACAATTTAATGCATTGCTAACTAGTGACACAATACACAGCTTACCACTCTCATTTATCTTTTCCTTACTATGCATTTAATACACAACTTTCTTCAGCTATTGGTATACATCAATATTCATGTCTTAGATAAACATCTGTCAACTGGCTTTAAAAACTACAGTTCTTACCTTCCAGTGGTTCATTCATATCTTTTCCTTTTGCATCTGCTGCCATTGATTGATTAATGGATTCCTTCCAAGAATTTGTAGAAATAGTCTATTAAAGTTAATGCCAATAATGAGTTGCATACACTTCCCAACAATGTTCTAAAAGAATCTCAATTTTCCACTTTCTAAAGAGTTCCACTTTATAAAGGCAAAAATAAGATCAGCATGTTTTATACAAATTCTCAAGATCAGGCCTAACTTTGAGTTTCATGTTACTGATTCTATAAATGCAGCATGGAGGTTCAGAGGAACAATAACTTATGATACTAATAACATATTTTAGCTACAAACTAACTCAAAAAGTCAACTCTGCATTGTATTCCCCAATAAAATAAAGAAGACAAACCTAGAAAAACACATTGAAAAATTGTAGTGTTATAATACAGAGTTAAACACATGAACAATTTCTAGGTTTTGTCTTAACATTCTAAACATAAGAAACTTCAAAGTATGCCATACTGAGTATAAACAGAACATCTCAGAAGCTGTACATTTACATACACAGTGGTTTAGAAATGCTAAGTTTTCTTTTTATTTACTTATTTGACAGGTCAAGAAATACAGAGAAAGAAAAATATAACACGGAGAGAAAAAGAGAGAAAGAGACAGACAGGCTAGGGAGTATATCAGTTCACTGGCTCTGTCTCCAAATGCCACCACTTGTCAGCCATGGGCCACACCAAAGCTGAGAGCCAAGAACTCAGTCCCAGTCTCTGATGTGGATGGCAAGAACACAATTACATTAGCTTAGACCCATTGCTTACAGGGATGCACATTAGTTGGAAGCTGGATTTGGAATTAAGACATTAACCCAGGTACTAAGATGTAGGCTGCCAGAATCCCAACTGAGCTCTTAAATGCTAGGCAGAATTCCTGTCCTAAATATTATTTAATACAATGTTTAAACACGTGAAGATGGTTTGAATGAAATAGCAGGAGAGTAAGTAAAATTTTCCTTTATGTTATGCTTCGTAACAGTATGCAAAAACCTGTATTAGTATGCAACTCATTGAAAGAAAGAAATACTGTGAAGATTGTACTGTAAGCTTTAATAAGAATAAGCGTATTTTCTGCTTCAGCTTCTAACATGTGTCTGACACTCATTTGCATCATTTATTTTCTACACACAATAACATATTAAAAAAGATTGAGGGTGATGGTTAGTCCACTACCTGCATCTTGCTAATTTCTGGAAGTGAAGAATAAAATAATAAACAGAGGTGATCCACTAATCTTTCTGTCCATAATGTCCTCCTTCTAGACATTCAGAGCAAATGTACATTCTCATTCTTATGCTGGGCAGCATCAAATCAGTAGCCCTATTTTTTCCCTCTGCCTACAGAATTCCACCATACAAACCATTCCAACACGAAGCACAGACACCCTCAATATCTCTATTCAACAGTCTCTCATTACTTTTTATGAGGCATTTAGAGGTAACTGTTAGTGCTTGTTACCTTGATTTTCTGTTCCAACCATAAGAGAAGTAGCCCAAACCTGTAAAGTCAGTGCCTAACTGCCCTACCACATAGTTGGAACTCACCAACAAAATTTATTTAAAGTGTCAATTAAAATATTACCAGAAAGGCCTCAAGTATAAAGTTACTATATTCCTATAGAAAATTTCCAAAAGAAATCATCCCTGAATTAGAAAAAGTTCCAAGGTAGTTAGTATTCATATATTTGGTCACTGGTAGAGTGGAAATATTCTTTTTCTTAGAAAAGATTATTCTTAAAACTCAACAAATTCCTTGTGATACCTAAACCTTTCTTTTTCACTGCATGGTACTGGATTTATGAAAGAAACCTTGAGTTTACACAGCTGTAAAGTACTTAGCACATAGTTGAATTACTCATGGGATGGGGAAATGTGAGGAACTAATTCCTTATAGGTATGCACTAAAGAGAGAAAGAAAGGGGAAACAGTCTCTTTGCAAGTGGTTGGTCAAATGGTGAAGAAGCTAAGTCTAAAGGATTATGTCTGATGTGAGAGTGCCTGGGCTTAAGTCTAGGCTCCAGCTCAGAAATCTAGCTTCCTACAAATGTGGGCAGAGTGAGGCAGTTGGTGGTGACTCAAGTACTTAAGTTCTAGCCATCCACATGGGAGACTGGAACTGAGTTTCCAGTTCCTGTATCTCAGCTTCAACGAGGTTATGTTCCTGGAGTTGCAGGCACACATAGGGATTGACCTATAGGACCCAAGAGAGTTCTGCGTGTCTCAACTGGCATGTGAGTAGGTATCTATCTGTGTTATCTCTGTGTCTGCCTTTTGTGTCAATATCTTCAACAAGGTACAAAAAGCCTTAAGGAAAAGATATAAACTATAATAGGTGTTTAGCTTCTAAACTGTGCCAGACTAGGGGGAGCAATTTGACAGGGTAAGCTGTTCCTGGGGACACTGGCATCCCATAGAGTAGTGCCTAACCTACTATATTCGTACTCCAGATTCTAGATCATGTGCATGCTGCGAGGCAGGTATGGCTTATATACATGAGTCCCTGCCAACCCTGCGGAGGGTCCACCAAATACCAAACTCCTAGATAGAACCTGCCCAGTCCTGAATGTTTCAAGTATTTGTGCAGTAAATCATTGCACTGAAGATCTCTCTGTTGGTTTGCCACTCAAATAAGTGAAAATAAGTAACATTAAAACATGCCAGGCACTTATTTTCACATTTTCTTTATTAAACTGATCACATAACAATGGCTGCAATTATGGTTGTCCCACTTTAAAGTTTTGCTAATACCCAACTATAACAACCAAATGATAAAAAATGAGACCCACTAGTTTTCTGCCCAGAATATTCTAATCCTAGACTTTCACACACATGATTCCATCTCATCCGTTCGTTGGCAGCATCATAGTTACATTCAGAAAGGTTTTCTCTGACTAAGGAATTCCAAAATCAACTCCCACTTCTATGCTAAGGAAAAAAAAATCAGATTTAAATATATTTGCTCAGTACACATAACTGAGGTAAATGTTGGTACCATTTTCCTAAATGTGGTAACACACAAATAGCTTATATCTTTATTTTTAAGGCAAGATAGATAGTAACTTATAGATCAGCATAAGAGTATGGCTTATAACTTAGTGAAATGCCTGACCCCAAGGCAGCAGCTGTTCAAACCTAAGAACTTAGGCTTGTTTTCACTCACTGTCCAGCCGTCACCATAGAAAACACAATTTTATATGTATGTAATGACTAACATTGCTGCCATAAAAGTAATCAAGACATTTTCTTTTCTTTTTTTTAATAAAGATCTTATTCACTTATTTGAGAAGCAGAGTTACAGATAGGATGAGAGACAGAGAGAAAGGTCTTCCATATGCTGTTTCACTCCCCAGATGCCCACAATGATTGGTGCTGGGCTGACCAGAAGCCAGGAGCCAAGAGCTTCTGCACAGTCTCCTATGTAGGTATAGAGCCCAAGCACTTGGGCCATTGTCTACTGTTTCCCAACGCTATAGCAGAGAGATGGATTAGAAGAGGAGCATCTGGGTCTCAAACAAGTGCCCATATGGGATGCTGACACCGGAGGTGGAGGCTCAGCCTACTATGCCACAGCACTCAATCTGGGGGAATTTTAATTTCAAAATTGTTTTTTTATGTTATTTTTATTTAGTAAATATAAATTTCCAAAGTACAGTTAATGGATTACAATGGGTTCCCCCCCATAATTTCCCTTGCACTCACACCCCTCCCATCTCCCGCTCCCTCTCCCCTTCCATTGACATCAAGATTCATTTTCAATTATCTTTATATACTGAAGATCAATTTAGTATAAATTAAGTAAAAATTTCATCAGTTTGCACCCACACAGCAACACAAATTGTAAAATACTGTTTCAGTACTAGTTATAGCATTACTTCACATTGGACAACACACTAAGGACAGATCCCACATGAGAAGTAAGTACACAGTGACTCCTGTTGTTGACTTAACAATTTGACACTCTTTATGGCGTCAGTAATCTCCCTAGGCTCTAGTCATGAGTTGCCAAGGCTATGGAAGCCTTTTGAGTTCGCCAACTTCGATCTTATTCCAACAGGGTCATAGTCAAAGTGGAAGTTCTCCTTCTTTGATGGCCCTGTTCTTTCCACTGGGATCTCACTCGCAGAGATCTTCCATTTAGGTCTTCTCTTTTTTTTTCCAGGGTGTTTTGGCTTTCCATGCCTAAAATACTCTCATGGGCTCTTCAGCCAGATCTGAATGCCTTAAGGGCTGATTCTGAGGCCAGAGTGCTGTTTAGGACATCTGCCATTCTGTGAGTCTGCTGTGTATCCTGCTTCCCATGATGGATCATTCTCTCCCTTTTTGATTCTATCAGTTAGTATTAGCAGACACTAGTCTTGTTTGTGTGATCCCTTTGACTCTTAGACCTGAATATAACCCTACCATTCAACCCAGCCATCCCACTCCTTGGAATTTACCCAAAGGAAATTAAATTGGCAAACAAAAAAGCTGTCTGCACATTAATGTTTATTGCAGCTCAATTCACAATAGCTAAAACCTGGAACCAACCCAAATGCCCATCAACAGTAGACTGGATAAAGAAATTATGGGACATGTACTCTATAGAATACTATACAGCAGTCAAAAACAACGAAATCTGGTCATTTGCAACAAGACGGAGGAATCTGGAAAACATCATGCTGAGTGAATTAAGCCAGTCCCAAAGGGACAAATATCATATGTTCTCCCTGATCGGCGACAACTAACTGAGCACCAAAGGGGAAACCTGTTGAAGTGAAATGGACACTATGAGAAACAGTGACTTGATCAGCTCTTGTCCTGACTGTTGATGTACAATGTAATACTTTATCCATTTTAGTATTTTCTCTTTGTTTTGTTCTAGTACCATTGGTTGAACTCTGTGATTAACACACAATTATTCTTAGGTGTTTAAATTTTAACTGGAAAGTGATCCCCGTTAAATACAAGAGTGGGAATAAGAGAGGGAGGAGATGTACAATTTGGGACATGCTCAATCAGACTTGCCCCAAATGGTGGAGTTAGAATCATGCCAGGGGATCCCAATACAATCCCATCAAGGTGGTATGTACCAATGCCATCTCACTAGTCCAAGTGATCAATTTCAGTTCAAAATGGTTTTTATTTAAAGGCCCCCACTTATCCAAAATCTTATTGCTATAATCTAACATTTTTATATTCTCCACGTTTCCCCTTCACTGAAATATTCTTTACAGATTGACAATTGACAATACAAATATAATAATGATGATTTGAGGGCCGGTGACATGGCTCAATAGGCTAATCCTCCACCTGCAGCGCCGGCACTCCGGGTTCTAGTCCCGGTCGGGGCGCCGGATTCTGTCCCGGTTGCCCCTCTTCCAGGCCAGCTCTCTGCTATGGCCCGGGAGTGCAGTGGAGGATGGCCCAAGTCCTTGGGCCCTGCACCCGCATGGGAGACCAGGAAAAGCGCCTGGCTCCTGGCTTCGGATCAGCGCAATGCGCCAGCAACAGCGCGCTGGCCACGCCGGCCACTGGAGGGTGAACCAACGGCAAAAGAAGACCTTTCTCTCTGTCTCTCTCTCACTGTCCACTCTGCCTGTCAAAAAAAAAAAATAATGATGATTTGAAGTGTCAGGTATTGATTTGTGAGTTCCAAACTGTGAAAACCCACAGATAAAACAGTTCCTTTTCAAAAGCACATTAGGATGATTAGTCATCCTTGTAGCTACCATAGAACCAGACATTTGGCATAAATTGCACTGTGATAAAACCATACATTTTAGCTAAATTTTGGAAACTAATTCCTAATTACTTGTGTTAATTAGGCCTTATGTTTTGAACTGTACTGTACTGGCTGCATTAAATTAGTCATGTAGAGAATTGTCACAGTGCACTAGTGCATCAGGAAAATACTCATCACATGATGAAAATGTAAGGAAATAATTCTAATAGGAACACACAGAGGTGAGAAAGAGACATCAAGTCATACCATTCGCAGCTATTTGTCATAGTGTCTCAGACACTAATAGAGCACCTGAATACACTATGTCAGTGCCTGGATTCCATTTCTGGTTTTGGATATGGTATTAAAAATCCTGTTGGGAAGGCCAAAATTGTGGCAAATGGGTAAAGCTGCTGACTGCTATGTTGGCACCCCAGGTGGGCCTCAGTTCATAATTATGCTGTTAGACTTCTGATCCAGTGCCCTGCAAATGGCCTTTGAAAAGTAATGGAAGAAGGCCCTTATGTTTGGGCCCCTGCCACCTACCTAGGAGAACCAGATGAAGCTCTTTCTTTGGCCTGGCTTAGCCCTGACATTGTGACCACTTGTTGAGTGTGCCAGTGAAAGGAAGTAGTCTTTCTCACTGTCTCTCCCTTTCTCTGTATCTATGACTTGGAAATAAATAAGTAAACCTTAAAAATCCTGCTGTGGCTGGTGTGTGGTGCAATACGTGAATCTGCCACTGGCAATGCAGCATCTCATAGTTCCATACTGGAATGTCAGTTTGAGCCCCAACTGTTATTCTCCTAATCTACCTCCTGCCCATGCAACTGGGAAAGCAGCAGAAGAATGGCACAAGTATTTTGTCTACTGTCACCAAAATTTGAGACCTGGCTAGAGCTTTGGGCTCCTGGCTTCAGCCTGGCCCAGCCCTAGCTGCTGTAGCCATTTGGGGAGTCAATTAGTGGATGGAAGAACTCTTTGTCGCTCAATTCTTTCATCCCTCCATCTCTCCATCTTTATCTGTCATTCTGCCTTTCAAATAATAGAATGAATCTCATTAAAAATTTCCAGCTAATACAGACTTAGAAAGGCATGAGGTGATGTCTCAAGCAGTTAGGCCCCTGACAGGGAGACCTGGATGGAGTTTTGAGAACTTAGCTACTGGCTTTGGTTGGGTCTTGTCCCAATCATACCAGAGATTTGGAGAGTAAATTTGTATGTGATAGCTCTGTGGGTTTGCCTTTCATCTCTCTCTGCCTCTTGGTTTCTCAAATAAATGTTTAAAAAGAGAATCAAGAACCATACTCTTCTGTGCTTTAGGTTCTTCTCTATTCAGGATGACCTCCTCCTGCACATTCACAGGGATGGCCCCAACTCTTCCTTTACTTGGCAGTGGCATAGTCACATTCCAAAGAAAAAAAATCTCTGAATACAGAATTCTACACCACGTTCCACCTTTAACCTTATGGAAAATCCCCTGAATATTTTGCAGCCCCACATTCTCTGCTAGATTTATATGAAGGGTGGATAACAAATTATCGTGGATTGCTGCTTGCTATGACATTCTAACCATGACAGAAGTAGCCCTTTTAATATATTCACTGTCTAAAATTCAAGCTTATATTAGGCACAAAACAAAAATAATTATTCATTTTAAAACATTCAAAATATCTCCAGAAAGGCCTGAATGGCCCCGTCACTATATTAACATAGGAAATATAGTAATGATGCAGTAATAAGACTAAACATTTCATGCCAAATCAAATTTCTCAGTTTTTTCATGACACTGCCACTGAGTCACACTGGACTTCAGATTTTAAAAAGTCTACTTGCAAACATAAGTAACTGACATCACTGGATGCTTTTTTCTTCATTCTGTATGTATTTCACTGTTTGCATCATGTTTGCCTATTTCTTGCCACGTTATTTTATTGTACTGCCTAAAAGTTAGATATCAATCATTCAGGTGTGGCCACTGGGATTCAAATGACTTATATCACTTTTCACAAGACTCCATTACCAGGGAAAGGCCAGCATATTAACAAGTCTTAGGACTTCAGTGAAGTCACAGAAATCAGTATGAAGCAACTGCTCAAGTCAGAAAGCAAATCCTATCTCATTTCCAGTTGCCACTATGAACATCACCATTATTAATACTTATGTGGTTATGAATATTGCTAGCATGAAGTTACTCAGTATTTTACATTTAAAATGTCTTATGTTTATCAAAACACAGCTAAATCAAAATGATGAAATCTTTACTTAATATATACTAAATCAATCTTCTCTATATAAAGATAATTGAAAATGATTCTTGACGTGAATGGAATGGGAGAGAAAGCAGGAGATGGGAGGGTTGCAGGTGGGAGGGAAGTTATTGGGGGGAAAAAGCCCTTGTAATCCATAAACTGTACTTTGGAAATTTATATTTACTAAATAAAAGTTTAAAAAATGCCATATGATCTAGCAATCCCACTTCTGCTTATACACCTAAAGACAGGAAAGCACTGTATCAAGGATATCTGTGCACCACCATATTATAGCTGCACTGTTCATAAAAGCAAAAAGAGGAATCAAAGCGCACTTCTAAAGATGAATGAACAGAAAAAGTGCAGCACAGGTATCCAATGTAATAGTATTCAGTCATTTGAAAGAATGAAATTCTGCCATTTGCAGCAAAATGAATGCAACTGGAGGGTATGATGTGGGGGAAAAGAAGCTGGACGCAGAAAAACAAGTATCTCATGTTTTCCCTTAAAAGAGGCAGCTTAAATCGAAAAATGAAGATGAAAAGGCAAATAAGGCAGAAATGCTTGTGTGTTTCGATACTGCTGCAAATGTTGTCTTGATAAGCTTTGTTTTATACCTTTGTCAAGCTCGTGGTTAAGAATATTATGCTACTATAGATTCAATGATCTGGGATTACTTTGAAATTTATTGCAGATAAGTGAAATAGTCCTTTTTCCATTTCATTATTGTCTTTGGCCTTGTCTATATTCCTACTTTACTAGGCCTTTTTTTGCTTTTAACTTGAAGAACCAAGTATTTACAGGAGCCATGGAATGTAATGTAGATCAAGGACATAAACTCAAAGTGAAGCAGAGAAGGGGTAAAGTGAGAGGAAGCAGGGTGGGAGGCACAGAAGGAGAGGGATGGAGGACAAAGGCACATCATTATACTCTTAGAATTCCATGAGCTCTATGGAGCCTAAAACACTAAAAAGATATAGAGAGACTCCAGAAGATATGGATACCATAGTTATCATTGTAATTGTGAAGTCTATTTGTCTTCACAGCTTCTTCAAACAGATAATAATATTAAATGATTTTAAAACTAGCTGCCCTGGCTTCAAGCAAACACCAATTTTGTTTTAACAAGACTGAAATCAGGTATTTCCAAATCACAAGAAGACACACTACCTTCGAATTCCTTGGTGAGTGGCTGTCTTCAGGATCTCTTTGGAAGGTAGACTCCTTACCTACAAATGCAGTAATAGATCAACTAGTGAGAACATTTATTCACATGGAAATAATTTACATAAAGGCGTGTCTGTCTCCACTCATGAATATTGCAATGAAATGAATATTTCAATGAAATAAAAGGAATAGTAAGGATGAATTTCAGAGGGTTGAAGCTGTTTCAGGAAGAAGTTGGTTATATTAAAAAAAGCCAAAGAAAACCCTCAACATACATGGATACCCAATTCAGAGCTACTCATTTCTGTTCATTGTATTTTAATAGTAAGTTTTGATAGATATGCACTCACCACGTTTGTTATCTTTGTCCAATCCGTGATCAGAGTCCATCCCATATTTATTAATTGGCTGTTGTGGAGCAACTTGAGTGATGAAAAAACATTTTTTACTCTTCTTACCCGCTACAGCTGATGTTCCTTCCTACAGAACAATAAAATGCAAATTCAACACATATATCCAATTTCTCAACCCCTCAGCTACTCATTCAGTGAGACAGGATTTACTATGTGTATCAAGTCATAGGCCCAGTCCTTGAAAAATCTAAGCATATAAACAAACAGCAGATTCTACCCCATGTTCAGCTAGAGGTAGACATGGGAAAATACAACAGGAAAGTATAAACCACTATTTCTGCCACTGAAGTCAATACAGTTGAAGAAAAGGCAGAAAAAAGAATCCTCCATTCAGTCTTGGAAGGTCAGGAAATACTGCTTAATTTCTGGCCGAGAGTTAGAAATGGGTACCAAATAAGGACAGAAAGCCATCCAAGGTGTGAGGTAGATAGCTCATCTGACTTCTTCACCACTGGGCCAAGAGTTTAGCTCCTAATTCTTTTTTCCTAGGTTGTAAAGGCAAGAGAGTTGGCTGAAGCGAATGTCAAGACAGCCTCAAAACCTCTCCTTTACGTAGCTTCAGATAAGTAAGGGGAAGCTTGTATTACATAGGTACTAGGTATCCCACTCTCTCCCAGATAAGAAATATCGTCAAGAATATATGAACAAACAACAAATCTAGTTCAGAAATGGACACAGCACCTCAACAGACCTGTCTCAAAAGAAGCCTCTCAGCTTAAAAAAACACACATATCCTAAAGGAAGTCACTGAATGCTTCAGTGATATCTTTGCTTTAGCTTGTATGCATATTTTAGAGTTTACTGTTGTTTTTTTTTTTTTTACATTGGCTACCACAGATTCTCATTACACCTACGTGGGCATTAAATACTGGCATATTTTATGAATGTGGTATATGGCATGCCAAAAGGCTATATCATCTTTCCAACGTACTGTAGCTAAAATGACAGTGCAACATACTAATATGTGCTATGACTTAAATAAAGTTAGTGATACCACTATACTGCTTAAACCTAAGAGCTCTGAACATAGCTACCTCACTCTCTTGTTGTCACAGTAAGAAAAAACATTTTAACTTATGTTAGTATGTACATATTTACCAAAAGGATAGTCCAAATTCATCCAATTCTATTTATCTCTATAAAACACCACCAAAGTGGTTGTCCTCCCACAAATTTACTACTTCGCATGTATACCTTGCTCTAAATGTTACTACCTGCGTATCTCAGCTGCTATTCCGAAGATGTTAAGAATGCACTGAAACACAGGTATTAGGTTTTCAACTTGCAAGTTGTGGAAATAACACATCAATTTTGGTATCTAAAAATCTCATCAGCATGACAAGACATCTATAGATATACTGGAATCAGATGTCTGGTGTTACATTCTAAAACAATTTTTTTTTTGTTCTTGTTGATAAATATAATTTGCAGAGCAAATTTACTTCTTTATATTACCCAGGTCCTATTTATGTGTTTTGAAGTATGCTACAATTGTCACACTAAATAAGTCATGTAGAACTGTAGAAGACTACTAAAGTAGCAGGGCAATGGTTACAACATAATGCATTACTAATTGTTTGATGAAAACAAAGAAATCAGAGAGTCTATGCACACAGATGAAAAAGAAGAGCCACCCCAGTACTCAGTAGGCCCCTGCCCCAGTGGCTCATGCTGTGCAGGACACCAGCATGCAATACGAAAAACTCCAGGGTTCCATTACCGACCCCTGTGCAGGAACCCAGCTTCCTGCAAACGTGCAATCAGGGAGCGAGTCAATGATGTCTCAACCTCTTGGGCCCCAGACACCCATGAGGGACACCTGGGTTGAGTTTCAAACTCCTGACATCTTCATTTGGCCTGGCTCTGTTCATGGCGTCACAAACATTTGGCAGGTGATCTCTCGGTGTCTGCCTCACTTGTGTCTTTACTATCTCTCTTGATAAAGTGGTGGCAGAAAAAACAAGCACTCTTTTCTATATTTTACCATCGATTAATATAATACTCACATATAAAAGTCACAAGAAAACAAGGGACAGTACCTCAGACTTTAAGGAGTGTTTTAAAGGCTCATCATCTGGTCTGAAGCCAGGCATATCTATAAAACATAGGCAGAGTTGTACTCATGAGAACATTTGTCAACCGTTGCCTTTTTTTTTTAATATATTTTAATTTATTTGAAAGAGTTACACCAAGAGAGGGGGAGAGAGAGAGGGAGAGAGAGAGGTCTTCCATCCACTGGTTCACTCCCTACTGGCTGCAACAGCAAGAGCTATGCCAATCTGCAACAGGAGCCAGGAGCTTCTTATGGGTCTCCAATGTGGGCATGTGGGCATGTGGGTGCAGTGGCCCAAGGTCTTGCATCATCTTCTACTTTCCCAGGCCATAGCAGATATCTGGATGGGAAGTAGAACAGCTGGCACTTGAACCAGTGCCCATATGAGATGCCAGCACTGCAGGCGGGGGCTTTACCCACTACACCACATCGCCAGCCCCAACTGTTGCTTTTAAAAATTTACGCATTCAGCTGAGTTCATCAATAATATACTAAAATTAAAGTAACAGCAATAAAGAATTTCAGCTAGAGGGCCAGTGCTGTGGCATAGCAGGTAAAGCCACGGCAATTCAGCAATGGCATACCATATGGCTACAGGTGCAAGTTCCAGTGGCCCCACTTCTGATCCAGCTCTCTGCTAATGTACCTGGGTAAGCAATACAAGATAGCCTGAGTCTTTGGCCCCTTGCACACACATGGGAGACCCAGATGACGCTTCTGGATCCTGGCTTTGGCCTGACCCAGTCCTGCCCATTGTGGCCATTTGGGAAGTGAACCAGCAGATGCAAGACCTCTCTCTCTCTCTCTCGCACACACTCTCTCTCTTTCTCTCTCTCTCTCACACACACACACACTCTGCCTCTATGCCTCTGAATCCACCTCTCCCTCTCTGTATCTCTTTCTGATAAAAACATAAATTAAAAAAAAAGAATTTCTGGTTGTTCAATCAGCACTTTAAACCAGGTTGAGCTGGACATAGAAACAAATAGCAAAAGAAAAATCATCAAAATAATGGAAATCATTTCAGTTGAGACATTAGTACTTAAACAGTGTTTCATTGATAGATACTGACCAATAGCTTTGTCTTCTGGCACTCCAGCAATACCAGATAATGTGTCCTTTGCATGCTCTTGGGCACTTAGACTGACAGCCACATCCTTTTCAGTATCTCCACTTGATGCCATTGACGCTTTTCTCTACAGAAAGAAATAATGCCACAAATTCAGCAAACATTCACTCACGTGCTCAGACAAACAGGAAGACGTTTGCTGTGCTTGGGAAGCAATAGGCGCCCTCAAACAATGAGCTAAATATAAGGAAGAAGACAGATTCTATCCTGTAGACTAGGGGCAAATTGACCTATGTCGAACAAAGAACAGAAAACCAAAATTCCTCATTTTCAACTATCGCAGTCAGTAAATTACAATGAGGGTAGGATGACAGAATCTTCAGCATGACTTTGAAAACTCAGGAAAGTCTGTAGGGTTAGGAACACATTTAGTACGGCAGAGAAAATGCAGGGGCAAAGCATGATGGGCCTTCTAAACAGAGCAGTGTGAACAAAAGGAGGAGGCAAAACATGGCAAATGAGGGTTAATAAAGTAAGGAAGTAAAATGGCCAACATATTATTGAAACTGAGAGAGACAGGTGCAGCATGTATCCAAGACCAAACCATGAATGCCTATGGCATGCTGGAATCGGAGCTCGGCAGCAATGGGCTCCATCTTTCTCATTCACCATTTGGTCAATGTAGAAGAATATTTATAGTTACGCTAGTACTAACATATCTGTCATAAACATGTTGAATTCATTAAATTTTCCAAGATAGCCTGTGTTTATTAAAGACACCATTTAAACAGGCTTTATTTTCCCAAAAGAAAAATGAATGATTACTCATGTTTTACCTCATGCTGAAATGCCATTACTTCTGATTAATAATGGCATTTTGATTCATTATGCTTTTATTTGGAATTCTAAGCACATAGAAATGGCAGTCCAAATATTTCTCTCAAAATCTCATTCAGATGAACAGGTGGCATTAGATATCACAAAATAATGTTATTCACATTGGTGGAGCTAAAATAAACTTTTAATTTTCAAGATATAGCTAGTTTCCAAACCAAAACTGATTCCTTATCTCTCTCAGGCCTACTTTATTATTGTCTACGTTTAACTACACCAACGGACTCACACACATGTGTAGATCTTCTCTAACGTGGCAGTGCACTGTTTACAATGCATTACTAACTTTATGATGGAAATAAACCATACAGGGCAGGCGTGAGAAAGGAAACTCAAACCTTCCTCTTTGTAGTCACTTGCCACAGTGGCTCGGATGCTAAGTGGGACAACAGCATACAATATTTCAGGGTTCCTTTACTGATTCCTGCTTCTCTCCCTCGCATCTTACTGAGGCATATGCAAGGAAGAAATAGGTAGTGACTCAAGCTGTTGTGTCCCTGGCTCTCATGGGAGGCCTGGGTTTAGTTTCTGACTCCTTTCACCTGGAATAGGCCTGGCAGGCATCTGGCCGGTATACTGTCTGTGTGTGTCTGCACACGCATTTTCTTATCTTTCTCTCTGCATTTGAAATAATTTTTAAAAGGCAAAAAAGGAGCAACCACACCTTTACATATCTCAGCATCAATTAATGCTCACATTTCAAAGTCACAAGAAAATAAAAGGCAATAGCGCAGATTTGGAAGTGGATTCCAGACGTTCATCTTCTGATCGGGAGGTAGCCACTGGATTTACAAAACATAATCACAGCCCCTTGAATGACAACATGTATTTCTATGAAGTTTATAGGTAAATCCACAATCTACCACCATTCAGGAATATTGCAATAAAATGACAGTAGTGGCAATAAAGTGCAGAATGTAGAAACTATTGTAATAGGGAGATACGTAGCATATACATAAAGCTAAAGAAAATGCAAAAGGAAATGAATGTCAAAATGGGACCTACACTTCCCAGTTTCAACAGCAGCAATGATACCGTGATTCATTAAAATATACTGACCTCTTTGGCTATCCTTGCCCAACTACATGACAGGAAATAATCCAGAATATCTCCTTCTGGGACACCTCCAGTGGCAGCACGACCTTCACCCTTTCCACTTGATGTTTCTTCCTAAGCCCAAAATTAATTAACTAATTAATAAATACTAAAGCAAAACAAGCAATCCAGAAATTCAGCAAACAATCAGTGGCTCCATCACTAAGATACAGTTTAATCTGCTTGTCAATTCCTAGGCACATTTCCTCCAGAAAGATAAATATAAAAACAGAGGTATTTTCTACCCTATGCTAAGTGGGAGCAGATACATAGGAAAACAAAGAATAGGAGCATATAATTCACCACTTCTACCACTGAGGTAAAAAAAAATAAGCTACAGTAAAGGCTGACTTGAAACAAGACCCACAGCTTTCAGCATATACAAAAACTCAATTCAAAACGGATCAAGGAACTAAACTTAATACCTGAGGGTATCAAGGTACTACAGGAAAACCTAAGAGAAATGCTGTGAGGCATTGGCCTAGGCAAATACTTTTTGGATAAGACTCTCAAAGCACTGGTGCTAAAAACACAAACAGGCAGACAGGACTGAATCAAGCTAAGAAGAGTCTGCCTATCAAAGGAAGCTGTGCATCTAATTTATCTTCTATTCTATTAACTCATTTTCAGAGGGTATAAAGAGCTCAGGAAACTTAACAACAACAAAGCAAACGATCTCAGGAAGAAACAGGTACAGGAAAGAACAGGTATTTTTCAAAGGACGAAATACAAATGGTCAACAGACACATGAAAACATGCTCAGGGAAAAGCAAATAAACAACATAATGAGGTATCACTTCTCTCCAGTAAGAACAGCTGTTAGCCAAAATCAAAGAATAACAAAAGCTGCTGAAGTGGTGTAGCCAAATTCAGTAGTGGTAGGAACACAAATCAGTATAGCCGTTAAGGAAAACAACACAGAGATTCTGTAGAAAACGAAAAATGGATCTACCATGTGACCCAGTTCTCCAACACTCGGGAATGCATCCAAAGAAAGCGAAACAGCATATGAGACTGGTACCTGCATTCTCATATTAAGAGTAGCACAAGTCACCGTAGTAAAGGGAGGAAGTCAGCCTTTGAGCTCCATCAACTAATGACTGCACAATGTTACATGCTGAACTATCACTCAGCCATAAACTATGAATTACTGATATTTGGAGCAAAACATGGAACTGGAGATCATTATTCTAAGTGAAGTAAGCCACCCAGAAACACAAATACTACGTTTTCATTTATTTGTAAAAGTAAATTTATAGAGAGTACAAAGTTGTGTGGCTATCATATGATCTGATATATATAATTAGAAGTATTGTGACACTGAGTTATTGTATTACACAACAATATATTCCTCTTTCCTCACATAATGATCAACGAATACCTCATTAGGTAACATTATTATCCATTTTCAAGAAAAGAGTGCATACATGTATACCTGTAATATATACATAAGATGTGACTGTGGCAAAATGTAAAAAAACCTGTTAAAGCTAAAAAAATGTATAAAAACATTCAAAAGGCTGAAGAAACACACACCACTTTTATGTCTTAATGTCATTGAAACCTTGCATGGACAAGTACCTCAGAATCCCACGGTGATTCTACAGCTTCATCACTTATTCCGGAGATAGGCACTGCAACTACAAAATGTAGTAAGCGATCGACTAAGAAGAATATTTATGAAATGTACAGACACACGCAATTCATCTCTCTCTCCACTCATAAGTAACTGGAGAAGCCAAAGGTAATACTGAGAAGGTGCTTTAGAGGACTGAGCAGTTTTAGGGAAAATGTCAGAAATATTAAAGCAAAACAAAACAAAACTCCCAAACAAAGGTAAAATAAAATGGATGTAGGATTTCATTTAACACAACGTTGATGTTTCATTTAGCAGTAACGTTGAAAAAGAAGAACATACATACACTCAAGGACCGCTTCTACTACCCCAGGGGATCAGTCTCTACTAACTTGCATGCCTAGAAATTGGTTAAGTGGGGCAATACCTTCTTCCCTCTTTAGAGGTTCTGCAGAGGATTCCTCCTATAGAAAACAAGGAACCACAAATTTAGCACACATACACATTCAATTACTCAACTACTCACTAAGACAAACATTTACTGTGTCTATCAAATCATAGGCACCACCTAACGAAGACAGGCATGTACACAGAGGCGCATTCTACTCTAGGCTTCCATTGGGGTATATACATACAGAGGAAAACAATGAAAAGGAAATTAAGATTCACTGATTCTACTACTGACGTGATAAATGAAGAAGTTACAGAAGAAGCTGGAATTACAGAAGCTTCAGTTTAGCCGTGACAGTTTACAAAACAGTACAAGGCCACAGCCGTATATTTAAAGTACACAAAGTACAGGGGGATTGTGTGTAGGGTCTTCTGAGAGAGGCTGCAGGAACAGAATGATGAGACAGAAAACAACACGACAAATGAGGGTAAGAGAGTAAGAAGGTAAAATTACAACACATTGCTTGGGACTGGGATAGAGTTACTGTAGAGAATCAGGGTCAAGCTGCAACTGGCATGTGGTATGCTACAATCTGAACACTTTTCTGTACAAGACTCCATAGAATCATGGCTCAATACTCTAGTCATGAATATAATTTAGAAAGGCCAATCTGGCAGGATGTTCAGATGCATGCAATGCATTCTCTGAAGCATTTCTCAGATTTGAGAGCCTCCGGAGACTTAGCAGTCACATCTAGAAGAAGACTTATGGTACAGGAGCAGAAAAAAAATCACTCTAGGTAATGATGGCTTGTCAAAAAGATAAATGAATACAATAAGCTAAAATTGTATAAGCAAATTTTTGTAATCATGGACTAAATCCTGATATTTTGGAAGTGAAAAAAAGGGGCAAACTATCATGAGTTTCTCATGGAAAATGACAATTATCAATCATTTTATCAAGGATCTAAACTGTAACTCTTTTTCTATGTAGTTCTGTCATGTTGCTGTAACATGCAGTCGTAAATTTCAGAAAAGACTTATGTCAATGCAACCTATTGGAGATACTGAAATAGGAGATGGTAAAACAAACATCTAAACATTTTCAAGGTTAGAAGTGCCAAGGAGATGCCAGAGTAATGAAGAATCCTTTTCTGTACCACGAAGATTTCAGATAGATATCCAAAACCGTTCAGCATTAAGTTCAATCTGGTTTCCTTGTTTTTTAGTTAATTACATTTTTGAGCCTTCAAAACTAAAAGTACGTAATAAGAAAAGGGGAGGGGGGTTATAGATCCATAGACATAGACCTAGACCTAGCCATAGAAATAGTCATAGACATAGACATATAGACACAGATATAGATACAGACATCAACAAAAGTATAAACATAGACAACAGAATCAGAGGGAGAGCAAAAGTGAGAGATCAGACAGAATCCTAGAGAGGGTTTCATTATTCATATTTCTGCAAAGTCCAGTCTAGCATTTTGTAAAATCAGGAGCAGGGGACTCAATTTCTCCCAATGGGTAGCAAAGAATGAATTATTAATCCATGGAAGCCTGTCAGGGGGCCTCCTGGCTGAAAGTTAGAATCAGGCACAGGAAAAAGACAGAAGCCATGCTAGGTGTGAGGTAGATAGCTCATCTGACTTCTTCACCACTGGGCCAAGAGTTTAGCTCCTAATTCTTTTTCCTAGGTTGGAAAGGCAAGAGAGTTGGCTGAAGCGAATGTCAAGACAGCCTCAAAACCTCTCCTATACGTAGCTTCAGATAAGTAAGGGGAAGCTTGTATTACATAGGTATCCCACTCTTTCTCAGATAAGAAATATTCTCAAGTATATTTGAAGAAGCAACTGTGTGTACTGATGGTCCTCTCCCACTTACTGTTGTATGATTATTCAGAATTTCTCTACAGACAAACCCCACTACCTGCAAAAGTTGAGTGGCCTTTTTCCTGGTCTTGGCTGGGATCAGATTTAAACCACGCCCATCAAACAATCCACACAAGGGTCCAGAGACGCCCCTCATTTCCTCTCCTTTATGAAATCCTCTCATTACCTGGTTAATGCCACTCTTAGTATCACTGGTTGCTATTCTCACCCTGACTTGTGTACTACAGTGTCTGTTTAAATGTTTACAGCAGGTTATAATGGAATGAACCAAGGCCTTCAGCAAGCAGTCAACCAGATGCTTCTCCATCCATACATGCCTGTCCCTGCGGAGCCCCAAGAAACCCCCAACGGGCCCCTGTAGATGACGTCCCCAGTCAGCAGGAAGTAGCCAGAGAGACTCATCATCGCCCCCTTTCCTATCATCAAAAGGTAGGGATGATAGCTTTGGGATCCACATGGAAGGAAGGCCTACACTTCCGGGAATGGAGAGGCCTACTTCCGGGTAAGAAAGTCCTTGTCAAGGTCCCTGCGGGTGCCTAAAGCTCAACCAATGACAATCAGACCCACCTCAAACTTTTAGTCCCATGCCCTGAATCTATAAAAGGAGCTCTCCCAATCCGACGAGCAACTTCCCCTGGCCCCCACTCTGTTGCTCTGTTGGGACCAGGGAACCTCGCCCAGGAGCGGAACCCCAACAAAAGCCTGTAAATTAATTGATTCATCTGCCTGGGAAGATCTGTTACGCGCTGGACACCTTACAGATGGTGCCGAACCCGGGAGCTGAGATTACAGAAATGGGCACAGCACTCCAACAGACCATTCTCAAAGTAAGAGACACAAATGGCAATGAACATAAAAGTATGTTCAACATCACCATCCACCAGGGAAATGCATATCAGTGCCTCAAAGAGATATCACACCACCCCTTCTCAAGATAGCTAAAATGTTTCTCTGCCTGTCTTATGTAAGTAGTTGTCTCTCAAGTAACTTTGTACCTTCAAGCAAACACCAATTTTGTTTTAACATCACTGAAATCAGGTATTTCCAAATCACAAGAAGACACACTACCTTCGAATTCCTTGGTGATTGGCTGTCTTCAGGATCTCTTTGGGAGGTAGACTCCTTATCTACAAATGTAGTAATAGATCAACTAGTGAGAACATTTATTCACATGGAAACAATTTACATAAAGGCGTGTCTCTCTCCACTCATGAATATTGCAATGAAATGAATATTTCAATGAAATAAAAGGAATAGTAAGGATGAATTTCAGAGGGTTGAAGCTGTTTCAGGAAGAAGTTGGTTATATTAAAACAAAACCAAAGAAAACCCTCAAAATAAATGGATATCCAATTCAGAGCTACTCATTTCTGTTCATTGTATTTCAATAGTAAGTTTTGATAGATATGCACTCACTACGTTTGTTATCTTTGTCCAATCCGTGATCAGAGTTCATAGTTGGCTGTTGTGGAGCAACTTGAGCGATGAAAAAACGTTTTTTACTCTTCTTACCCGCTACAGCTGACGTTCCTTCCTACAGAACGATAAAACACAAATTCAACACATATATCCAATTTCTCAACCCCTCAGCTACTCATTCATTGAGACAGGATTTACTATGTGTATCAATCACAGGCCCAGTCCCTGAAAAATCTAAGCATAAACACAAAGAGCAGATTCTACCCCATGTTCAGTTAGAGGTAGACATGGGAAAATACAACAGGAAAGTATAAACCACTATTTCTGCCACTGAAGTCAATACAGTTGAAGAAAAGGCAGAAAAGAGAATCCTCAATTCAGTCTTGGAAGGTCAGGAAATACTGCTTAATTTCTGGCCGAGAGTTAGAAATGGGTACCAAATAAGGACAGAAAGCCATCTGAGGTGTGAAGTATGTAGCTCATCTGACTTCTTCACCAAAGGGCCAAGAGTTTAGCTCCTAATTCTTCTTTCCTAGGTTCTAAGGGCAACAGAGTTGGCTGAAGCGAATGTCAAGACAGCCTCAAAACCTCTCCTTTACGTAGCTTCAGATAAGTAAGGGGAAGCTTGTATTACATAGGTACTAGGTATCCCACTCTCTCCCAGATAAGAAATATCGTCAAGAATATATGAACAAACAACAAATCTAGTTCAGAAATGGACACAGCACCTCAACAGACCTGTCTCAAAAGAAGCCTCTCAGCTTAAAAAACACACATATACTAAAGCAAGTCACTGAATGCTTCAGTGATATCTTTGCTTTAGCTTCTATGCATATTTTAGAGTTTACTGTTTTTGTTTTTTTTTTTTTACATTGGCTACCACAGATGCTCATTACACCTACGTGGGCATTAAATACTGGCATATTTTATGAATGTGGTATATGGCATGCCAAAAGGCTATATCATCTTTCCAACGTACTGTAGCTAAAAGTGACAGTGCAACATACTAATATGTGCTATGACTTAAATAAAGTTAGTGATACCACTATACTGCTTAAACCTAAGAGCTCTGAACATAGCTACCTCACTCTCTTGTTGTCACAGTAAGAAAAAACATTTTAACTTATGTTAGTATGTACATATTTACCAAAAGGATAGTCCAAATTCATCCAATTCTAATTATCTCTATTTATGAAAACACCACCAAAGTGGTTGTCCTCCCACAAATTTACTACTTCGCATGTTATACCTTGCTCTAAATGTTACTACCTGCGTATCTCAGCTGCTATTCCGAAGATGTTAAGAATGCACTGAAACACAGGTATTAGGTTTTCAACTTGCAAGTTGTGGAAATAACACATCAATTTTGGTATCTAAAAATCTCATCAGCATGACAAGACATCTATAGATATACTGGAATCAGATGTCTGGTGTTACATTCTAAAACAATTCTGTTTTTTTGTTGTTGTTGATAAATATAATTTGCAGAGCAAATTTACTTCTTTATATTACCCAGGTCCTATTTATGTGTTTTGAATTATGCTACAATTGTCACACTAAATAAGTCAAGTAGAACTGTAGAAGACTACTAAAGTAGCAGGGCAATGGTTACAACATAATGCATTACTAATTGTTTGATGAAAACAAAGAAATCAGAGAGTCTATGCACACAGATGAAAAAGAAGAGCCACCCCAGTACTCAGTAGTCCCCTCCCCCAACGGCTCATGCTGTGCAGGACACCAGCATGCAATATGAAAAATTCCAGGGTTCCATTACCGACCCCTGTGCAGGAACCCAGCTTCCTGCAAACGTGCAATCATGGAGGGAGTCAATGATGTCTCAAGCTCTTGGGCCCCAGACACCCATGAGGGACACCTGGGTTGAGTTTCGAACTCCTGACATCTGCATTTGGCCTGGCTCTGTTCACGGCGTCACAAACATTTGGCAGGTGATCTCTCGGTGTCTGCCTCACTTACGTCTTTACTATCTCTCTTGATAAAGTGGTGGCAGAAAAAACAAGAACTCTTTTCTATATTTTACCATCGATTAATATAATACTCACATATAAAAGTCACAAGAAAACAAGGGACAGTACCTCAGACTTTAAGGAGTATTTTAAAGGCTCATCATCTGGTCTGAAGCCAGGCATATCTATAAAACATAGGCAGAGTTGTACTCATGAGAACATTTGTCAACCGTTGCTTTTTTTTTAAATATATTTTAATTTATTTGAAAGAGTTACACCGAGAGAGAGAGAGAGAGAGAGAGAGAGAGAGAGAGAAGTCTTCCATCCACTGGTTCACTGCCTATTGGCTGCAACAGCAAGAGCTATGCCAATCTGCAACAGGAGCCAGGAGCTTCTTATGGGTCTCCAATGTGGGCATGTGGGCATGTGGGTGCAGTGGCCCAAGGTCTTGCATCATCTTCTACTTTCCCAGGCCATAGCAGATATCTGGATGGGAAGTAGAACAGCTGGCACTTGAACCAGTGCCCATATGAGATGCCAGCACTGCAGGCGGGGGCTTTACCCACTACACCACATCGCCAGCCCCAACTGTTGCTTTTAAAAATTACGCATTCAGCTGAGTTCATCAATAATATACTAAAATTAAAGTAACAGCAATAAAGAATTTCAGCTAGAGGGCCAGTGCTGTGGCATAGCAGGTAAAGCCACGGCAATTCAGCAATGGCATACCATATGGCTATGGGTGCAAGTTCCAGTGGCCCCACTTCTGATCCAGCTCTCTGCTAATGTACCTGGGTAAGCAATACAAGATAGCCTGAGTCTTTGGCCCCTTGCACACACATGGGAGACCCAGATGACGCTTCTGGATCCTGGCTTTGGCCTGACCCAGTCCTGCCCATTGTGGCCATTTGGGGAGTGAACCAGCAGATGCAAGACCTCTCTCTCTCTCCAGCAGATGCAAGACCTCTCTCTCTCTCTCTGTCTCTCTTGCACACACTCTCCTCTTTCTCTCTCTCTCACACACACACACTCTGCCTCTATGCCTCTGACTCCACCTCTCCCTCTCTCTATCTCTTTCTGATAAAAACATAAATTAAAAAAAAAGAATTTCTGGTTGTTCAATCAGCACTTTAAACCAGGTTGAGTTGGACATATAAACAAATAGCAAAAGAAAAATCATCAAAATAATGGAAATCATTTCAGTTGAGACATTAGTACTTAAACAGTGTTTCACTGATAGATACTGACCAATAGTTTTGTCTTCTGGCACTCCAGCAATACCAGATAATGTGTCCTTTGCATGCTCTTGGGCACTTAGACTGACAGCCACATCCTTTTCAGTATCTCCACTTGATGCCATTGACGCTTTTCTCTACAGAAAGAAATAATGCCACAAATTCAGCAAACATTCATTCACGTGCTCAGCCAAACAGGAAGACGTTTGCTGTGCTTGGGAAGCAATAGGCGCGCTCAAACAATGAGCTAAATATAAGGAAAGAAGACAGATTCCATCCTGTAGACTAGGGGCAAATTGACCTCTGTCGAACAAAGAACAGAAAACCAGAATTCCTCATTTCAACTATCGCAGTCAGTAAATTACAATGAGGGTAGGATGACAGAATCTTCAGCATGACTTTGAAAACTCAGCAAAGTCTGTAGGGTTAGGAACACATTTAGTACGGCAGAGAAAATGCAGGGGCAAAGCATGATGGGCCTTCTAAACAGAGCAGTGTGAACAAAAGGAGGAGGCAAAACATGGCAAATGAGGGTTAATAAAGTAAGGAAGTAAAATGGCCAACATATTATTGAAACTGAGAGAGACAGGTGCAGCATGTATCCAAGACCAAACCATGAATGCCTATGGCATGCTGGAATCGGAGCTCGGCAGCAATGGGCTCCATCTTTCTCATTCACCATTTGGTCAATGTAGAAGAATATTTATAGTTATGCTAGTACTAACATATCTGTCATAAACATGTTGAATTCATTAAATTTTCCAAGATAGCCTGTGTTTATTAAAGACACCATTTAAACAGGCTTTATTTTCCCAAAAGAAAAATGAATGATTACTCATGTTTTACCTCATGCTGAAATGCCATTACTTCTGATTAATAATGGCATTTTGATTCATTATGCTTTTATTTGGAATTCTAAGCACATAGAAATGGCAGTCCAAATATTTCTCTCAAAATCTCATTCAGATGAACAGGTGGCATTAGATATCACAAAATAATGTTATTCACATTGGTGGAGCTAAAATAAACTTTTAATTTTCAAGATATAGCTAGTTTCCAAACCAAAACTGATTCCTTATCTCTCTCAGGCCTACTTTATTATTGTCTACGTTTAACTACACCAACGGACTCACACACATGTGTAGATCTTCTCTAACGTGGCAGTGCACTGTTTACAATGCACTACTAACTTTATGATGGAAATAAATCATACAGGGCAGGCGTTGAGAAAGGAAACTCAAACCTTCCTCTTTGTAGTCACTTGCCACAGTGGCTCGGATGCTAAGTGGGACAACAGCATACAGTATTTCAGGGTTCCTTTATTGATTCCTGCTTCTCTCCCTCGCATCTTACTGAGGCATATGCAAGGAAGAAATAGGTAGTGACTTAAGCTGTTGTGTCCCTGGCTCCCATGGGAGGCCTGGGTTTAGTTTCTGACTCCTTTCACCTGGAATAGGCCTGGCAGGCATCTGGCCGGTATACTGTCTGTGTGTGTCTGCACACGCATCTTTCTTATCTTTCTCTCTGCATTTGAAATAATTTTTAAAAGGCAAAAAAGGAGCAACTACACCTTTACACATCTCAGCATCAATTAATGCTCACATTTCAAAGTCACAAGAAAGTAAAAGGCAATAGCGCAGATTTGGAAGTGGATTCCAGACATTCATCTTCTGATCTGGAGGTAGCCACTGGATTTACAAAACCTAATCACAGCCCCTTGAATGAGAACATGTATTTCTATGAAGTTTATAGGTAAATCCACAATCTACCACCATTCAGGAATATTGCAATAAAATGACAGTAGTGGCAATAAAGTGCAGAATGTAGAAACTATTCTAATAGGGAGATACTTAGCATATACATAAAGCTAAAGAAAATGTAAAAGGAAATGAATGTCATAATGGGACCTACACTTCCCAGTTTCAACAGCAGCAATGATACCGTGATTCATTAAAATATACTGACCTCTTTGGCTATCCTTGCCCAACTACATGACAGGAAATAATCCAGAATATCTCCTTCTGGGACACCTCCAGTGGCAGCACGACCTTCACCCTTTCCACTTGATGTTTCTTCCTATGCCAAAAATTAATTAATTAACTAATTAATAAATACTAAAGCAAAACAAGCAATCCAGAAACTCAGCAAACAATCAGTGGCTCCATCACTAAGATACAATTTAATCTGCTTGTCAATTCCTAGGCACATTTCCTCCAGAAAGATAAATATAAAAACAGAGGTATTTTCTACCCTATGCTAAGTGGGAGCAGATACATAGGAAAACAAAGAATAGGAGCATATAATTCATCACTTCTACCACTGAGGTAAAAAAAAAATAAGCTACAGTAAAGGCTGACTTGAAACAAGACCCACAGCTTTCAGCATATACAAAAACTCAATTCAAAATGGATCAAGGAACTAAACTTAATACCTGAGGGTATCAAGGTACTACAGGAAACCCTAAGAGAAATGCTGTGAGGCATTGGCCTAGGCAAATACTTTTTGGATAAGACTCTCAAAGCACTGGTGCTAAAAACACAAACAGGCAGACAGGACTGAATCAAGCTAAGAAGAGTCTGCCTATCAAAGGAAGCTGTGCATCTAATTTATCTTCTATTCTATTAACTCATTTTCAGAGGGTATAAAGAGCTCAGGAAACTTAACAACAACAAAGCAAACAATCTCAGGAAGAAACAGGTACAGGAAAGAACAGGTATTATTCAAAGGACGAAATACAAATGGTCAACAGACACATGAAAACATGCTCAGGGAAAAGCAAATAAACAACATAATGAGGTATCACTTCTCTCCAGTAAGAACAGCTGTTAGCCAAAATCAAAGAATAACAAAAGCTGCTGAAGTGGTGTAGCCAAATTCAGTAGTGGTAGGAACACAAATCGGTATAGCCGTTAAGGAAAACAACACAGAGATTCTGTAGAAAACGAAAAATGGATCTACCATGTGACCCAGTTCTCCAACACTCGGGAATGCATCCAAAGAAAGCGAAACGGCATATGAGACTGGTACCTGCATTCTCATGTTAAGAGTAGCACAAGTCACAGTAGTAAAGGGATGAAGTCAGCCTTTGAGCTCCATCAACTAATGACTGCACAATGTTACATGCTGAACTATCACTCAGCCATAAACTATGAATTACTGATATTTGGAGCAAAACATGGAACTGGAGATCATTATTCTAAGTGAAGTAAGCCACCCAGAAACACAAATACTACGTTTTCATTTATTTGTAAAAGTAAATTTATAGAGAGCACAAAGTTGTGTGGCTATCATATGATCTGATATATATAATTAGAAGTATTGTGACACTGAGTTATTGTATTACACAACAATATATTCCTCTGCTTCACAAAATGATCAATGAATACCTCATTAGGTAACATTATTATCCATTTTCAAAAAAAGAGTGCATACATGTATACCTGTAATATATACATAAGATGTGACTGTGGCAAAATGTAAAAGAACCTGTTGAATCTTAAAGCTAAAAAAAATGTATAAAAACATTCAAAAGGCTGAAGAAACACACACCACTTTTATGTCTTAATGTCATTGAAACCTTGCATGGACAAGTACCTCAGAATCCCACGGTGATTCTACAGCTTCATCACTTATTCCGGAGATAGGCACTGCAACTACAAAATGTAGTAAGCGATCGACTAAGAAGACTATTTATGAAATGTACAGACACACGCAATTCATCTCTCTCTCCACTCATAAGTAACTGGAGAAGCCAAAGGTAATACTGAGAAGGTGCTTTAGAGGACTGAGCAGTTTTAGGGAAAATGTCAGAAATATTAAAGCAAAACAAAACAAAACTCCCAAAACAAAGGTAAAATAAAATGGATGTAGGATTTCATTTAACACAACGTTGATGTTTCATTTAGCAGTAACGTTGAAAAAGAAGAACATACATACACTCAAGGACCGCTTCTACTACCTCAGGGGATCAGTCTCTACTAACTTGCATGCCTAGAAATTGGTTAAGTGGGGCAATACCTTCTTCCCTCTTTAGAGGTTCTGCAGAGGATTCCTCCTATAGAAAACAAGGAACCACAAATTTAGCACACATACACATTCAATTACTCAACTACTCACTAAGACAAACATTTACTGTGTCTATCAAAACATAGGCACCACCTAACGAAGACAGGCATGTACACAGAGGCGCATTCTACTCTAGGCTTCCATTGGGGTATATATACATATAGAGGAAAACAATGAAAAGGAAATTAAGATTCACTGATTCTACTACTGACATGATAAATGAAGAGGTTACAGAAGAAGCTGGAATTACAGAAGCTTCAGTTCAGCCATGACAGTTTACAAAACAGGACAAGGCCACAGCCGTATATTTAAAGTACACAAAGTACAGGGGGATTGTGTGTAGGGTCTTCTGAGAGAGGCTGCAGGAACAGAATGATGAGACAGAAAACAACACGACAAATGAGGGTAAGAAAGTAAGAAGGTAACATTACAACACATTGCTTGGGACTGGGATAGAGTTACTGTAGAGAATCAGGGTCAAGCTGCAACTGGCATGTGGTATGCTACAATCTGAACACTTTTCTGTACAAGACTCCATAGAATCATGGCTCAATACTCTAGTCATGAATATAATTTAGAAAGGCCAATCTGGCAGGATGTTCAGATGCATGCAATGCATTCTCTGAAGCATTTCTCAGATTTGAGAGCCTCCGGAGTCTTAGAAGTCATATCTAGAAGAAGACTTGCGGTACAGGAGCAAAAAAAAAAAAAAAAAAAAAAAAAAAACACTCTAGGAAATGATGGCTGGTCTAAAAGATAAATGAATACAATAAGCTAAAATTGTATAAGCAAATTTTTGTAATCATAGACTAAATCCTGATATTTTGGAAGTGAAAAAAAGGGGCAAACTATCATGAGTTTCTCATGGAAAATGACAATTATCAATGATTTTATCAGGGATCTAAACTGTAACTCTTTTTCTATGTAGTTCTGTCATGTTGCTGTAACATGCAGTCGTAAATTTCAGAAAAGACTTATGTCAATGCAATCTATTGGAGATACTGAAATAGGAGATGGTAAAACATACATCTAAACATTTTCAAGGTCAGAAGTGCCAAGGAGATGCCAGAGTAATGAAGAATCCTTTTCTGTACCACGATGATTTCAGATAGATATCCAAAACCATTCAGCATTAAGTTCAATCTGGTTTCCTTGTTTTTTTAGTTAATTACATTTTTGAGCCTTCAAAACTAAAAGTACATAATAAGAAAAGGGGAGAGGGGTTATAGATCCACAGACATAGACCTAGACCTAGCCATAGAAATAGTCATAGACATAGACATATAGACACAGATATAGATACAGACATCAACAGAAGTATAAACATAGACGACAGAATCAGAGGGAGAGCGAAAGTGAGAGATCAGACAGAATCCTAGAGAGGGTTTCATTATTCATATTTCTGCAAAGTCCAGTCTAGCATTTTGTAAAATCAGGAGCTGGGGACTCAATTTCTCCCAATGGGTAGCAAAGAATGAATTATTAATCCATGGAAGCCTGACAGGGTGCCTCCTGGCTGAAAGTTAGAATCAGGCACAGGAAAAGGACAGAAGCCATCCTAGGTGTGAGGTAGATAGCTCATCTGACTTCTTCACCACTGGGCCAAGAGTTTAGCTCCTAATTCTTTTTTCCTAGGTTGTAAAGGCAAGAGAGTTGGCTGAAGCGAATGTCAAGACAGCCTCAAAACCTCTCCCTTACGTAGCTTCAGATAAGTAAGGGGAAGCTTGTATTACATAGGTACTAGGTATCCCACTCTCTCCCAGATAAGAAATATCGTCAAGAATATATGAACAAACAACAAATCTAGCTCAGAAATGGACACAGCACCTCAACAGACCTGTCTCGAAATAAGAGATAGAAATGGCAATCAATATGACAGTATGTTCAACATCACCAACCACCAGGGAAATGCATATCAATGCCTCAAAGAGATATCACACCACCCCTTCTCAAGATAGCGAAAATGTTTATCTGCCTGTCTTATGTAAGTAGCTGTCTCTCAAGTAACTTTATACCTTCAAGCAAACACCAATTTTGTTTTAACATCACTGAAATCAGATATTTCCAACTCACAAGAAGACACACTACCTTCGAATTCCTTGGTGAGTTGTTGTCTTCAGGATCTCTTTGGGAGGTAGACTCCTTACCTACAAATGCAGTAACAGATCAACTAGTGAGAACATTTATTCACATGGAAACAATTTACATAAAGGCGTGTCTCTCTCCACTCATGAATATTGCAATGAAACGAATATTTCAATGAAATAAAAGGAATAGTAAGGATGAATTTCAGAGGGTTGAAGCTGTTTCAGGAAGAAGTTGGTTATATTAAAAAAAGCCAAAGAAAACCCTCAAAATAAATGGATATCCAATTTAGAGCTACTCATTTCTCTTCATTGTATTTTAATATTAAGTTTCGAAGGATAGGCACTCACTACCCATGTTACCATTGTCCAATCCACGATCATAGTTGAACGCATATTCATTAATTGGCTGTTGTGGAGCAACTTGAGTGATGGCGATATCTTTTAAGCCCTTCTTACTCGCTAAGGTTGACATTCCTTCCTACAGGAAGATAAAATACAAATTCAACAAATACACCCAAGTTCTCAACCCCTCAGCCACTCATTCAGGGAGACAGGATTTACTATGTGTGTCATGTCACAGGAACAGTCCTTGCAAAGGTTGAGCATATAAACAAAGAGCAGATTCTACCCCATACTCAGTTAAGCATATACACAAAGAGCAGATTCTACCCCCACGTTCTTTCAGTTGAGCATATAAACAAAGAGCAGATTCTACCCCATGTTCAGCTAGAGGTAGACATGGGAAAATACAACAGGAAAGTATAAACCACTATTTCTGCCACTGAAGTCAATACAATTGAAGAAAAGGCAGAAAAAAGAATCCTCAATTCAGTCTTGCAAGGTCAGGAAATACTGCTTGATTTCTGGCCGAGAGTTAGAATTGGGTACAAAATAAGGACAGAAAGCCATCCGAGGTGTGAGGTAGATAGCTCATCTGACTTCTTCACCACTGGCCCAAGAGTTTAGCTCCTAATTCTTTTTCCTAGGTTCTAAAGACAAGAGAGTTGGCTGAAGCGAATGTCAAGACAGCCTCAAAACCTCTCCTTTACGTAGCTTCAGATAAGTAAGGGGAAGCTTGTATTACATAGGTACTAGGTATCCCACTCTCTCCCAGATAAGAAATATCGTCAAGAATATATGAACAAACACCAAATCTAGCTCAGAAATGGACACAGCACCTCAACAGACCTGTCTCGAAATAAGAGATAGAAATGGCAATCAATATGACAGTATGTTCAACATCACCATCCACCAGGGAAATGCATATCAGTGCCTCAAAGAGATATCACACCACCCCTTCTCAAGATAGTGAAAATGTTTATCTGCCTGTCTTATGTAAGTAGCTGTCTCTCAAGTAACTTTATACCTTCAAGCAAACACCAATTTTGTTTTAACATCACTGAAATCAGGTATTTCCAACTCACAAGAAGACACACTACCTTCGAATTCCTTGGTGAGTTGTTGTCTTCAGGATCTCTTTGGGAGGTAGACTCCTTACCTACAAATGCAGTAACAGATTAACTAGTGAGAACATTTATTCACATGGAAACAATTTACATAAAGGCGTGTCTCTCTCCATTCATGAATATTGCAATGAAATGAATATTTCAATGAAATAAAAGGAATAGTAAGGATGAATTTCAGAGGGTTGAAGCTGTTTCAGGAAGAAGTTGGTTATATTAAAAAAAGCCAAAGAAAACCCTCAAAATAAATGGATATCCAATTTAGAGCTACTCATTTCTCTTCATTGTATTTTAATATTAAGTTTCGAAGGATAGGCACTCACTACCCATGTTACCATTGTCCAATCCACGATCATAGTTGAACGCATATTCATTAATTGGCTGTTGTGGAGCAACTTGAGTGATGGCGATATCTTTTAAGCCCTTCTTACTCGCTAAGGTTGACATTCCTTCCTACAGGAAGATAAAATACAAATTCAACAAATACACCCAAGTTCTCAACCCCTCAGCCACTCATTCAGGGAGACAGGATTTACTATGTGTGTCATGTCACAGGAACAGTCCTTGCAAAGGTTGAGCATATAAACAAAGAGCAGATTCTACCCCATACTCAGTTAAGCATATACACAAAGAGCAGATTCTACCCCCACGTTCTTTCAGTTGAGCATATAAACAAAGAGCAGATTCTACCCCATGTTCAGCTAGAGGTAGACATGGGAAAATACAACAGGAAAGTATAAACCACTATTTCTGCCACTGAAGTCAATACAATTGAAGAAAAGGCAGAAAAAAGAATCCTCAATTCAGTCTTGCAAGGTCAGGAAATACTGCTTGATTTCTGGCCGAGAGTTAGAATTGGGTACAAAATAAGGACAGAAAGCCATCCGAGGTGTGAGGTAGATAGCTCATCTGACTTCTTCACCACTGGGCCAAGAGTTTAGCTCCTAATTCTTTTTTCCTAGGTTGTAAAGGCAAGAGAGTTGGCTGAAGCGAATGTCAAGACAGCCTCAAAACCTCTCCTTTACGTAGCTTCAGATAAGTAAGGGGAAGCTTGTATTACATAGGTACTAGGTATCCCACTCTCTCCCAGATAAGAAATATCGTCAAGAATATATGAACAAACACCAAATCTAGCTCAGAAATGGACACAGCACCTCAACAGACCTGTCTCGAAATAAGAGATAGAAATGGCAATCAATATGACAGTATGTTCAACATCACCATCCACCAGGGAAATGCATATCAGTGCCTCAAAGAGATATCACACCACCCCTTCTCAAGATAGTGAAAATGTTTATCTGCCTGTCTTATGTAAGTAGCTGTCTCTCAAGTAACTTTATACCTTCAAGCAAACACCAATTTTGTTTTAACATCACTGAAATCAGATATTTCCAACTCACAAGAAGACACACTACCTTCGAATTCCTTGGTGAGTTGTTGTCTTCAGGATCTCTTTGGGAGGTAGACTCCTTACCTACAAATGCAGTAACAGATTAACTAGTGAGAACATTTATTCACATGGAAACAATTTACATAAAGGCATGTCTCTCTCCATTCATGGCTACTGCAATGAAATGAATATTTCAATGAAATGAAAGGAATAGTAAGGATGAATTTCAGAGGGTTGAAGCTGTTTCAGGAAGAAGTTGGTTATATTAAAAAAAGCCAAAGAAAACCCTCAAAATAAATGAATATCCAATTCAGAGCTACTCATTTCTCTTCATTGTATTTTTATAATAAGTTTTGATAGATATGCACTCACTACGTTTGTTATCTTTGTCCAATCCGTGATCAGAGTTCATAATTGGCTGTTGTGGAGCAACTTGAGCGATGAAAAAACGTTTTTTACTCTTCTTACCCGCTACAGCTGACGTTCCTGCCTACAGAACAATAAAATACAAATTCAACACATATATCCAATTTCTTAACCCCTCAGCTACTCATTCAGTGAGACAGGATTTACTATGGGTATCAAGTCATAGGCCCAGTCCTTGAAAAATCTAAGCATATACACAAAGAGCAGATTCTACCCCATGTTCAGTTAGAGGTAGACATGGGAAAATACAACAGGAAAGTATAAACCACTATTTCTGCCACTGAAGTCAATACAATTGAAGAAAAGGCAGAAAAGAGAATCCTCAATTCAGTCTTGCAAGGTCAGGAAATACTGCTTAATTTCTGGCCGAGAGTTAGAATTGGGTACAAAATAAGGACAGAAAGCCATCCGAGGTGTGAGGTAGATAGCTCATCTGACTTCTTCACCACTGGGCCAAGAGTTTAGCTCCTAATTCTTCTTTCCTAGGTTCTAAAGGCAAGAGAGTTGGCTGAAGCGAATGTCAAGACAGCCTCAAAACCTCTCCTTTACGTAGCTTCAGATAAGTAAGGGGAAGCTTGTATTACATAGGTACTAGGTATCCCACTCTCTCCCAGATAAGAAATATCGTCAAGAATATATGAACAAACACCAAATCTAACTCAGAAATGGACACAGCACCTCAACAGACCTGTCTCGAAATAAGAGATAGAAATGGCAATCAATATGACAGTATGTTCAACATCACCATCCACCAGGGAAATGCATATCAGTGCCTCAAAGGGATATCACACCACCCCTTCTCAAGATAGCTAAAATGTTTATCTGCCTGTCTTATGTAAGTAGCTGTCTCTCAAGTAACTTTATACCTTCAAGCAAACACCAATTTTGTTTTAACATCACTGAAATCAGATATTTGCAAATCACAAGAAGACACACTACCTTTGAATTCCTTGGTGAGTTGTTGTCTTCAGGATCTCTTTGGGAGGTAGACTCCTTACCTACAAATGCAGTAACAGATTAACTAGTGAGAACATTTATTCACAGGGAAACAATTTACATAAAGGCGTGTCTCTCTCCTTTCATGAATATTGCAATGAAATGAATATTTCAATGAAATAAAAGGAATAGTAAGGATGAATTTCAGAGGGTTGAAGCTGTTTCAGGAAGAAGTTGGTTATATTAAAAAAAGCCAAAGAATACCCTCAAAATAAATGAATATCCAATTCAGAGCTACTCATTTCTCTTCATTGTATTTTAATAGTAAGTTTTGATAGATATGCACTCACTACGTTTGTTATCTTTGTCCAATCCGTGATCAGAGTTCATAATTGGCTGTTGTGGAGCAACTTGAGCGATGAAAAAACGTTTTTTACTCTTCTTACCCGCTACAGCTGACGTTCCTGCCTACAGAACAATAAAATACAAATTCAACACATATATCCAATTTCTCAACCCCTCAGCTACTCATTCAGGGAGACAGGATTTACTATGTGTGTCATGTCACAGGAACAGTCCTTGAAAAATCTAAGCATATAAACAAAGAGCAGATTCTACCCCATGTTCAGTTAGAGGTAGACATGGGAAAATACAACAGGAAAGTATAAACCACTATTTCTGCCACTGAAGTCAATACAATTGAAGAAAAGGCAGAAAAAAGAATCCTCAATTCAGTCTTGCAAGGTCAGGAAATACTGCTTGATTTCTGGCCGAGAGTTAGAATTGGGTACAAAATAAGGACAGAAAGCCATCCGAGGTGTGAGGTAGATAGCTCATCTGACTTCTTCACCACTGGGCCAAGAGTTTAGCTCCTAATTCTTCTTTCCTAGGTTCTAAAGGCAAGAGAGTTGGCTGAAGCGAATGTCAAGACAGCCTCAAAACCTCTCCTTTACGTAGCTTCAGATAAGTAAGGGGAAGCTTGTATTACATAGGTACTAGGTATCCCACTCTCTCCCAGATAAGAAATATCGTCAAGAATATATGAACAAACACCAAATCTAGCTCAGAAATCGACACAGCACCTCAACAGACCGGTCTCGAAATAAGAGATAGAAATGGCAATCAATATGACAGTATGTTCAACATCACCAACCACTAGGGAAATGCATATCAATGCCTCAAAGAGATATCACACCACCCCTTCTCAAGATAGCGAAAATGTTTATCTGCCTGTCTTATGTAAGTAGCTGTCTCTCAAGTAACTTTATACCTTCAAGCAAACACCAATTTTGTTTTAACATCACTGAAATCAGATATTTCCAACTCACAAGAAGACACACTACCTTCGAATTCCTTGGTGAGTTGTTGTCTTCAGGATCTCTTTGGAAGGTAGACTCCTTACCTACAAATGCAGTAACAGATCAACTAGTGAGAACATTTATTCACAGGGAAACAATTTACATAAAGGCGTGTCTCTCTCCATTCATGAATATTGCCATTAAATGAATATTTCAATGAAATAAAAGGAATAGTAAGGATGAATTTCAGAGGGTTGAAGCTGTTTCAGGAAGAAGTTGGTTATATTAAAAAAAAGCCAAAGAAAACCCTCAACATACATGGATACCCAATTCAGAGCTACTCATTTCTCTTCATTGTATTTTAATAGTAAGTTTTGATAGATATGCACTCACTACGTTTGTTATCTTTGTCCAATGCATGATCAGAGTCCATCTCATATTTATTAATTGGCTGTTGTGGAGCAACTTGAGCGATGAAAAAACGTTTTTTACTCTTCTTACCCGCTACAGCTGACGTTCCTGCCTACAGAACAATAAAATACAAATTCAACACATATATCCAATTTCTCAACCCCTCAGCTACTCATTCAGTGAGACAGGATTTACTATGTGTGTCATGTCACAGGAACAGTCCTTGAAAAATCTAAGCATATAAACAAACAGCAGATTCTACCCCATGTTCAGTTAGAGGTAGACATGGGAAAATACAACAGGAAAGTATAAACCACTATTTCTGCCACTGAAGTCAATACAGTTGAAGAAAAGGCAGAAAAGAGAATCCTCAATTCAGTCTTGCAAGGTCAGGAAATACTGCTTGATTTCTGGCCGAGAGTTAGAATTGGGTACAAAATAAGGACAGAAAGCCATCCGAGGTGTGAGGTAGATAGCTCATCTGACTTCTTCACCACTGGGCCAAGAGTTTAGCTCCTAATTCTTCTTTCCTAGGTTCTAAAGGCAAGAGAGTTGGCTGAAGCGAATGTCAAGACAGCCTCAAAACCTCTCCTTTACGTAGCTTCAGATAAGTAAGGGGAAGCTTGTATTACATAGGTACTAGGTATCCCACTCTCTCCCAGATAAGAAATATCGTCAAGAATATATGAACAAACACCAAATCTAGCTCAGAAATGGACACAGCACCTCAACAGACCTGTCTCGAAATAAGAGATAGAAATGGCAATCAATATGACAGTATGTTCAACATCACCATCCACCAGGGAAATGCATATCAGTGCCTCAAAGAGATATCACACCACCCCTTCTCAAGATAGCAAAAATGTTTATCTGCCTGTCTTATGTAAGTAGCTGTCTCTCAAGCAACTTTATACCTTCAAGCAAACACCAATTTTGTTTTAACATCACTGAAATCAGATATTTCCAACTCACAAGAAGACACACTACCTTCGAATTCCTTGGTGAGTTGTTGTCTTCAGGATCTCTTTGGGAGGTAGACTCCTTACCTACAAATGCAGTAACAGATCAACTAGTGAGAACATTTATTCACATGGAAACAATTTACATAAAGGCGTGTCTCTCTCCACTCATGACTATTGCAATGAAATGAATATTTCAATGAAATAAAAGGAATAGTAAGGATGAATTTCAGAGGGTTGAAGCTGTTTCAGGAAGAAGTTGGTTATATTAAAAAAAGCCAAAGAAAACCCTCAACATACATGGATATCCAATTCAGAGCTACTCATTTCTCTTCATTGTATTTTAATAGTAAGTTTTGATAGATATGCACTCACTACGTTTGTTATCTTTGTCCAATGTGTGATCAGAGTCCATCCCATGTTTATTAATTGGCTGTTGTGGAGCAACTTGAGTGATGAAAAAACATTTTTTACTCTTCTTACCCGCTATAGTTGACATTCCTTCCTACAGAACAATAAAATACAAATTCAACACATATATCCAATTTCTCAACCACTCTGCTACTCATTCAGTGAGACAGGATTTACTATGTGTATCAAGTCATAGGCCCAGTCCTTGAAAAATCTAAGCATATAAACAAACAGCAGATTCTACCCCATGTTCAGTTAGAGGTAGACATGGGAAAATAGAACAGAAAAGTATAAATCACTGTTTGCATCGTTGAAGTATATATAGTAGAAGAATAGGCAGAGAAGTGTATCCTCGAGTTAATCTTGGAAGGTCAGCAAATATTGTTTATTTGGGGCTACATTTTGAAACGCAGATCAAATGAAATCAAAAGTAAAACATGAAGGCATTGTATACAGCACAGATGAGGCAAAATATTGTATAGCAATAAACAAGGCAAATTAGCAGCCCCAGATATGGAGCTACAATGAGAACGTCCTTAGTAGAATGGGGTTTAGTGATGTACGGCAGATTTAAGACCTAAGGACCAAACCAATGGTCATGCTGGAATGTGAATTCTCCCCTACTGGAATGGAAATCTACTCAATAAGCAGTTGAACTACATGATTACAAATATGTTTAAGGGATCACTCTGGCAGGAAATACACAATGTACGAAAATGTCTTCAGTTAGGCAATACGAGATTTGATGCACACAGAGAACTTAGAAACCACATTGTGTCAAAGGAAAAAAAAAACTAACATTGAACACAAAACAAAAACTAGAGGGTGGGAGGTTATGGGGGATAGAGAAAATTTGAAATAGGGGTAAGAAACCAGAGTTACATTGAAGGAATGACTTCCTACTGCACTCACCTCCATCGCTGGGAAGAACCAGCACAGCAAAGGAAACGCCCGTGTCTAAGAGACTGACTGAAGGAAATCTTTGGTAAGGAAGTAAGGACAACTCTAAATGGCAATAGGCTCAGAGAGCCAGTACAGAGAGAGGCAAGAACAAAGTTGTGAGGGAATTATGTTTTACAATAACCTAACACACACTGCATGAGCAAACAGAAGAATCCTCAAACCTGCAATCATAAAGTAACACGAAGGAATGAAAAATCTTAGTCATCCTGTTTTGCTCAGTACACATAATATACATGTATTGAAATACCACACTGTGGCCCTTAAATGTGTCATATTTAGTCACTCAAGAATTTTGAAAAGAAATGGGAGTAGACAAATATATAGTCATATATATATAATGCACTGAAATACAATACTGTGACCCATAAATGTGTCATATTTAGTCACTAAAAATTTTTCAAAAGAAATGGGAATAGACAAAATCACTCAGAAAAAGCATATAATAAGAAAATACATATAAATAAATATTTGTAAAACATTAAAATAATATAAGCAAATAATGTAAACATAAACTGAATTCTGAAATTTGGAAAACGAAAATAAAAAGGCAGAACCTATGAGATTTAATTTTTCAATTACATATTTCTACATACGTTTGCAGCATACAAAATTTCATATTTCTACATTTGTTTCAAGAATTTAAAATAAAATTTTAATTTATAAATTGAAATATTACATACATTTCTTACTATAGTGAGAATATGTGCTTCTGGAGTTTATGGTAATAAGCATTTTTCAAATCTGTTAAAAATATAGTTCTGTGAAGGCTACAGGAGGACTGTTTTTCAAAAGCCTTGATTGCTTTAAATGTCACAAAACAAAGTCCTGAGAGTCAGTACTCTGATTAAGCAGGTTGAGCTGCCAGACTATTCCTTTTGTATTTTAAAAATTATCTCAGTTTCTCACAAAAAATAAGGAGACAGAAGGAAGCAGGAAGAAGAGAAAATGAAATAGAGTGGCACAGAGAAGTAGGCCTGCAGAGGTGCCATTTGCTAATTCACTCTCCAAAAGCCTGTAAGGGCCAGGGCTCAGCCACACCAATGCTAGGACCTGAGTACTCCAACCATTTTTTTTTCTCAGAACTTTTACTATGGGTTGAGTCAAATGGCAACGTAGTCAGGAAATCTTTCCTTTGTGTAATGTTCAAACAACAGTAAGCAAATACATGTGTAAGGTACATATGCAACTCTTTTCCAACTAGGCAATATCTTCAAAGTTATAAAAATCTCTACAAAGAGATAAATAGGGAGTCATGTTTTAGCTCCTAAAATGTGACATTCATTTCACATTATGTTTTCCACAAGTGACAATATAAATATCACCATGATTATGGCTGTCTCATGGTGTGAGGCTTGCTCATTTCTAATGCTTAGTATGATGAGGTCTGAGAGAGAGAAGAGAGGAAAAAAAAGCTGCATACAGAGGCCCTGCACTCACCTCCACCGCTGGGAAGAACCAGCACAGCAAAGGAAACACCCGGTGTCTAAGAGACTGACTGAAGGAAATCTTTGGTAAGGAAGTAAGGACAACTCTAAATGGCAATAGGCTCAGAGAGCCAGTACAGAGAGAGGCAAGAACAAAGTATACTGTAGCTCCTACGCTGGTGTTATGGCCAGGGGGACTCTATCTCGCTGAGGAAAGTAAGCAGAAGCCTCTAAGATTCCCACCATTATGGCAGAGCAGTGGCCCTAACTACAGAATTCCACCGTCCTCGGTTTTCATTTACCTAGAAAGCTGACTGTGTCTGAGGGCCTTCTTTGCCCTAAGAAAGACTCCATTTTGCCAGTGCCGCGGCTCACTAGGCTAATGCTCTGCCTTGCGGCGCCGGCACACCGGGTTCTAGTCCCGGTCGGGGCGCCGGATTCTGTCCTGGTTGCCCCTGTTCCAGGCCAGCCCTCTGCTGTGGCCAGGGAGTGCAGTGGAGGATGGCCCAAGTCCTTGGGCCCTGCACCCCATGGGGGACCAGGAAAAGCACCTGGCTCCTGGCTCCTGCCATCGGATCAGCGCGGTGCGCCGGCCGCAGCACGCCGGCCGCGGCGGCCATTGGAGGGTGAACCAATGGCAAAGGAAGACCTTTCTCTCTGTCTCTCTCTCACTGTCCACTCTGCCTGTCAAAAAAAAAAAAAAAAAAAAAAAAGAAAGAAAAAGAAAGACTCCATTTTGCCTCTTTCCAAATCCCCAGACCCAAGTGGTTGCAGCAACACTGCGGCTATCCCTTATTCTGTCTTGGGGACAGCAAGTACCCCTGATGCTACCAGCAGTCCCCAGATTCCACCTGCCACCTGCCCCTGCCCACAGCCAGAGCCAGGCTGCTTTACAGGGCAGACAGCAGGTCCCTGCCTATACGGCTGAATTGCTGGGCACAGCTTCAGGGCTCTGTCTTCTGCCTGTTTTTAAAAAGACAGAAGAAACAAGCACTCCATTCTAGATTTGAACATCACTTAGTGCTTATATTTAAAATATCATAACAAGAGACAGTACCTCAGGGTCTGAAGTTGATTCTTTAGCTTCATCTTCTGCTCCTAAAGTAAACACCATTTCTATAAGAGGTAGTCATAGATCTGATAATAAACGTTATTATGAATTCTAAATACACATACACAGATGGGATCAGGCGCATTCAGGGTGTATGGCCATAGATTATCTTCCAGAGTGGCTATACTATTTTGCATATGGAAGAGCAATGAATGAGTATCCCTATTGCTCTATTTCCTTATCTGCAATCACTGTTGTCACTGTTTTGAAATCCCTAGCAGTTCATGATGTTCAGAATCACTTCTTCAGTTCACTTGCCATCTGTTTATCTTCCATAGGAAGGTGTTTGTTCCGCTATTTTTCCTATTTTTAAGCCTGTTTGGTATTTTTTAAATTTAGCTTTAAGAGTTCTCTAAACGGTTTGGATAATAGCTGTGTCTTTGTTGAAATATATCTTATACAAATATTCTTTCCAGGTTATTTATTATACCCTTGGTGGTATATTGGAAGAACTAAAATTTTGTTTCTTATCACTATTCACTTTTCATGAACATCAATATACTTGCAGAAACTGAGAATAACTGGTCTTTACAACTTGTTCACCCTGAAGATGCTTATGCAAATCTCATCCGTGGCTGTCATACATTTTGTTACCTTAAGGGAATGAACACTGTCACTTACGGTAAGGTAGAAAGGTATATAACTTATCTTACACTGCCTGCTTTCAGTTTATAGACCAGGCTGTGTCATGCCAAAATGCAATCTTAATTCTTCAGCATAGAAATCACTTTAAAAGGCCTGTTGTTTCCAGCACCCTAAAATAATACCAAGAATCCCTAGAACCATCTGAAATAAAGTTCCATTTATCAATTTAAAAAATATGCTAATTTATATTTTAATTTAACTCTGGATTTTCTAGTCATTAAATTGATCTGTTCTACTATTTCTATGCCATGCCATCATGTGGTTATCCCCATAGATTTACTCTATGATTCAGTCCTGAGAAAAGCAAATTTTCTTGTTGTGCTTTTCTTCCTCAAAATGTTCCAGTAAATGTACATACATTAAAGCCTCATTAGAGCAAATATAAATACACACACACACACACACACACACACATCTCCATGAGTAATTCAACAATATGTAAAAGTAACAGCAAGAAAGAATTCCAAAGGGTTGACGAAGTTTTAGGAAGAAGAATTTGGTCCTATGAAGAAAGATATTAAAAAAAAAACAATAAAATACATTGGGTAGCATATTTATGGCTTCACATTAAACTTCATACAATAACATTTAAATAGAAGGTTTTCATACACTGGATGGAACTGGAAATCACTATCCTAGAGAAATAAGCCAGTCACACAAAACCAAATCTCACATGTTTTATATATGGAAGCTATAGAAAGTACAAAAAGTGCATGGATACCGTATTATTTGGTCTATAATCATATTGTCTTTAATGGATTTCATCAATACATCCTTCTTTCCTCACTGTTAGCATTGTGATGAATCCCACATTTTTCTTACATTAATATTACTGTTTTTGAGAAAAATGTATATAAGTGCACATATATAATATATCAAATGTTAAAAAATGTTCAATTTTAAAATTTACAAAAGAAATTTTGATCCACTTACCACATTTGTTATCTTCATGGACTCCATGAACACGAGTTATTCTGTCGTTATTGGGTTGCTCTTCTGGTGCACTGTGAATGATGGCAGTTGTATGTCCTGGAATTATTAAGTCTTTCTATAGGAAAAAAAAACACAACCTCAGCAAGCATGTTCACTCAGTTGTCCCACCACCCATTCACTCACTAAGACATTTATTCTGTAAATCAAAGCATAGGCACTGTCCTAGGAAAAGAAGAATATGTCCACGGAAGGCACTTACTGCAGTACGTTAAAGTGGGAGTAGACATAGAGTCAACAAAAACTCGGAGCAAGAAAATTAATTCCATAATAGAGCATTTTACCTTGGCAAATGAATTGAGGCCTTTCTCATATGATATAAGCAGTTCATGATTAACATCAGGTATTTCCAAAAGCCTTGTGCACAAAAATATATAAGAAAAATAGTTAAATATTTTCTATAAAAAATCAGGGGAAACATCAACTAAACTTCTGCTAAATGGTATTTTTTGGTACAATGAAAATTTGACTCTTGTTTTAGAAAAACTTTTCATCATCTATTTCTGCCTACACTACTCTCACCCCACTGAAATATTTGGTGAAGATAATACATCCCATAAAAAATCTGTGAACATCAATATACTAGCAGAAACTTTACAACTTGTTCACCCTGAAGATGCTTATGCAAATTTCATCCGTGGCTGCCATACATTTCATTACCTCAAGGCAATGAACACTGTCACCTATGGTAAGCGAGAAAGGTATATAACTTATCTTACACTGCCTGCTTTCAGTTTATAGACCAGGCTGTGTCATGCCAAAATGCAATCTTAATTCTTCAGCACAGAAATCACTTTAAAAGGCCTGTTGTTTCCAGCACCTTAAAATAATACCAAGAATCCCTAGAACCATCTGAAATATTTGAAAGCTAAAGATATATACATCACAGAACAAATGTGTAGGTTGTTGTTGGAAATGCCCTTCTCAGAAATATTAAGATGTTCAGTGATTTTCCCAAATAAGTGTTGCTGTTTCCTCATTCAGGTAAACGTAAACCAGTAAGACTATAGGTGCTTATGTACTTAGAAGGGAGATGCTGCTGAGAAGAGTCATGGTACCTGTACTTTTGTTTCTGTTAATGGTATCTAAATATCTTGCCTCCTATGAGCTCCTAACCCCAAATAACTCTTCTGGTGTCAAGCACAGTGATGTGGTTTGGATAAGAGTTCAGATATCAACAAAAGGCCCATGTATTTGTGGCTAGATTGCAAAGTCTTATTTAATGGATAAATGGTAATGGTCAATGGATTAAAAGTAGAAACAATGCAACTATGATGTCTAGGTGTTGGGCCTAAAGGAGGTCTTTAGGTCACCGGGGGCTTGTATTGTGAATGAAGTTCTCATGAGAGCAGTGAACTATACAACTGTTCTCTCTGCTGCTGGGTGCACCGTGTTATTCTCCCTTTGTATTCATTCCACCAACCAACATCCTCATCATGCTGCCACCTGTTCTTGGACTGTGAATCTCAAAACTTTATGCCAAAATAAATCCTATTCCTCTGTATGTTAGCCAACAGATATTTTTTCTGTAAGTAACAAAAAGCTTACAAACACATACAACTTCAAACATTAACGTATTAAACCTACAAAGCACAGAACCCTGAGAAAAGAGTGGACTCAAACATACAACTGTATTTTTTTATTTTCTTTTATTATTTTTTTTATTTTTTGACAGGCAGAGTGGACAGTGAGAGAGAGAGACAGAGAGAAAGGTCTTCCTTTGCCATTGGTTCATCCTCCAATGGCCGCCGCGGCCGGCACGCTGCGGCTGGCGCACCGCGCTGATCCGATGGCAGGAGCCAGGTGCTTCTCCTGGTCTCCCATGGGGTGCAGGGCCCAAGCACTTGGGCCATCCTCCACTGCACTCCCTGGCCACAGCAGAGAGCTGGCCTGGAAGAGGGGCAACCGGGACAGAATCCGGCACCCCAACCGGGACTAGAACCCGGGGTGTCAGCGCCGCAAGGCGGAGGATTAGCCTAGTGAGCTGCAGCACCGGCCCAAACATACAATTGTAGGCACTACTTCCCTCTTCTAAAAAACAAGCTACATTGAGGCTCAGTCATCTTGCCACAGCAAGACACACGTAGCTCTGTAGGGTTTATCAGCTAATCCTATCCCCCTCTTACCAAATACATACCAGGGAGAGACATCAGAAAATGGAAAGAAGAGGTGGGCATGAGAGGACATCTGCCCTGGACCAAGTTCTTTGCAGATCATCCACCTCCAGGCCCCTAGTGCTCAAGGGAGACTAGATTACCTACCCCTCTGAGTGTGGGGGACCATGAAGTAGATGATATAGCATTACAGTCTTATCTGATATGGACTCTTCCCAGTGACTCTAAAAATCCACCTGTGGTGCAAGCATCCCGTTGGGCACTGGCTCATGTTGCAGCTACTCTTTCCAACTGTCTGCTTATGGCCTGGGAAAGCAACGGAAAATAGCCCAAGTCCTTGGGTCCCTGCACTCATGTGAGAGCCAGGAAGAAGCTCCTCATTCCTGGCTTTGGATTAGCTCAGCTCCAGCCATTGCAGCTATTTGGGGATGAACCATGGATGGAAGATATATATATATTCATATACATATATATACACACACACATATATATATATGGCAGGATTTCTTTATTGATTCATCAGTTGATGAGCATCTAGTTTGATTCCATATATTAGCCATTGTAAATTCAGAATTTATCTGAATTGGACCTGTATCTTGATGCCACTATTGTATAAGTCTGTATCCATCCATGCTAAAGGGTAAGAGAATCCATTTGGGAGTAAGGCAGGCTGATATGGGTCAGTTAATTATTTTACTACAGGTTCATAGGCCAATCAATCAACCCCTCAGCACTATAGTTGCCTAAATAGTAGGAAATAAACTACATTAACACATACATTGAAAACTGGTTGGACAATTATGACAAGCAACAAATGTTAAGTACACAATATCCATCCAGCCCAGAGGAGAATACATAATGCATTTCTTTGCTTTCCATTAGTTAACAAATGGTTTTAAAAATCATTAAACCCTACCTTTTTCTATATTCTTTAGAATGCTCATCATCTATTAAAGAAAAGTAAATACATTTTAAATTAAATCAATGATAGAATAATATAGAATGTTATAATATATAGTACATTGTTAAAAATTACAGCTTTGGAGCCAGGTGTTTGACACAGAAGTTATGATGCTTCTTAGATGCTCACATCATACTGGAGTGCCTGGGTTTGGGTCTCAGCTTTGCTTTCAAACTGAGCTCTCAGCGTACCCTGAGAGGCAGGAGGTTATGGCTTAAGCAATTGGGTCTTTGTGACCCATCTGAGTCCTGCTTTTGTCTGGCCCAGCCCCAGATATTGCCGGAATTTAGGGAGAAATTATCAGAGAAGGAAATAACACTCTCTACTGGCTATCTATAGCTCTGCATCTCTACATTTCACATAAACTGAAAATAAAAATTAAAAGAAAAGATGCTTTTGATCATACTTACAAGTTATAGCAGAGTGATTATTAACTACATCATTGATAGCCATTATGGAACCTTACTTCTGCTACTTTGAATTTATCAATGTAAAGTGAATAATACAATTAATTAAGATGATATGGAAAACATATGCTCTATACAAAGACTGTAATCCAACTGAGAGACAATTGTATCACTAATAGAATAAGTATAAAAGATTGTAGGGTCCCAGTGCTATGTCACAGCAGATAAAGTCACGGCCTACAGTGCTGGCCTCCCTCATGGTTTCCAGTCCAAGTCTTGGCTGCTCCACTTCCAATCCAGCTTCCTGTTAACGGGTCTAGGAAATCAGCAATAGATGTCCCAAGTTCTTGGCCATGTAACCATGTGTGAGTAGCTGAGTTTGATTACCAACTCCATGTTCTGACTTCAGTTTGCTGCCTGTGCAAACTCACAGAGGCAGTGAGGCTCAAGTAATCAAGCTCCTCCCAAGCACGTGGAAGACCTAGATGGAGTTCCTGACTCCTGTCTATGGCTTCCATCCAAACGAGGCCATTGTGAGCATTTGGAGGACAAATTGGTAGATGGCAGCTTTGTTCTGTAAGTCTCCATGCCTCTCAGACACAGACATACACACACACACACACACATATACAGATATGTATCTTTTTCTAAATTACACAAATGCCACAAAGAGATAAAGGGCCACAATTAGTGATTTTCTTCAAATAATAGTGCTTCAGATTATAAATATCCTACAATAAACCTCTAAAATTTCTAAATACTTGATTCCTAAGAAAGATTAAGAAAACACACATATAATTAATCATTGACTTATCTGTAACTGCTCTTCTGTGATCAACTACTTCTTATGTTTATATTTTTTTTCCTATGTTGGGACTAGCTGGAGAAGTTTTACCTGGATTTGTATTTACAATCTTCTCAAGTGCAGCATTTTCTCGAAACAACGAAATGAGTTGGTAATTTTGCCTATGTATAAGAATGAATAAAATTGTTTCAGTATTGATAAGGACAACTATCAAATGTATCAAATCCTTAGAATATTTCTGATAGTTCAAAGTTAGTACCAGAACTTACATTATGCCAACGCACTTCATAATTATATGTTCTACAATATAATTTTCTTAAACTTATTGTTAAGATGAAAAACAGTAAGGTGAAGAAGTCCTGAATTAAAGGTGGTATAACTCAATAAATTAACTAAAATTAGCAGGACATAATAAGGTATCATAAACTCAGAAGACTCAGCTCTGTAGCCAACAGGTATGGGCAAGTCACTTGTTTTAACCTCAAACTCTTCTAAAGAGTAAGGATTTTCCTATGTCTTCACTAGTAGTTATAGAGATTTAATGATTTAATGCGTTAATATATAAAATATATAAATGCTCAATGAAATCAAGCAATGGAATACTTTGTTCTTGAAATTTACTACTGAAACTATTTTGGAATCCCAAAGAAAACCTGTAGTGTGCTTTTTCACTGTTCAGGCTACAGGAAATGTCATTAGTTTCTCATTCTGGCTATTAGTTACTCCATACAGCTGTAACCATAGATACCTCATCTACTTAACATATTGCAGCTACATGCATTTGTAAATATATCACTTCACTAAGTTAGGTAACATAATTGATGTGATCATTCACACTAAGGGTACAAAACTAAGAGCTGTCAAGTACTGGGGCAGACTATTACTATTCCTTTCAAGGATTCAAACTCTGCACCAGTTGATATTTGCTAGTATGATGCTTAACGTCCCTGTTCAACTCCACCTAACTTGGAAGATCAAACTGCACTTTATTACATGGTTTCTGAGAAGTTATGCATGGGGCTTAGCTCACTTAAATCCATATAACATACTTTAGATTCAGAGAATTCTCAAGAATGGCTTGTTGTGAGGCAGAATTTAAAACTACTTTGAAAATCTGATATAAAATGCACATAATTTAGATTTCCATCTTCACTATTACAGCAAACAAATCACCTTAGGTCCAACACATACTCTGGAGCACAGAAACATACATGGGACATTCCACAAACCAAGAACATATGTGCCCAGACTATAAAGAAGCCTTAGGGTACATATCTGGTGCAAAACATTAAATAAACTCTCATCTTTTCCTACATTATCTGAATTTGTCTGACAACAGAATGGTACCAAGTAGAAACTACTAGCAAAGTCAAGAACCTTATAAAGAACACGTCATGAAGGTTTAAGGCTAAGAAGTAGATGCCACCTGAGGTTCTCATAAATAGCCTATTTTTGGCTACATACATGCCAAAACCTAGGAAGCCAGAGTGGGGTGTTAATACTTTGTGGACAGTGACTGAGTATATAGGCATATGTCAGTCAACAAATAGACATTTTAATCTCAGGATATAAGTGCACATCACCACGAAGACTGGGGATCTGGATCAGTAAAAGAATCCTGGTAACAAAGGAAGCAATAAAAAATAAGAATTATTAGAACCCCATCTCTCTGATGAAGGAAGATTGCCTTGAGAACCTTATCTCTCTGATGAAGGAAGATTGCCTTGTCAGGCTTATGGAACTTCCTGGCTTCTTGTAAAACTCAAGAAAAAGAATTTAAGAGGCAGCTCCCAGGACAAAATATGAAATTTCCTGCTAATCTGGACACTGAAGGCCTAACCAACTAAGTAGAACTAGGAAGGTGTGACACTGTTTGGAGGGTCATGGCAGGGGTTGTATTTGAAATGATATGGATAATGTGGGCAGTCGCAGGGATAAAGACCTTCAAATCTCTGAGATAAAGAATTTGTACCCATCTGTACTTCTAACTAGCCGACCTTTCTCTTTGGTTTCTTTTTGTTTTAAAGATTTATTTTACTTGAAAGTCAGAGTTACACAGAGACAGGAGAAGCACTAGGAGGAGGAGGTGGGAGGGGGAGAGGGAGGAGGAGGAAGAGGGGGAGGGGGAGGGGGAGAGGGAGGAGGAGGAAGAGAGGGCTTCATCTGATAGTTCACTCCCCAGTTGGCTGCAATGGCCAGAGCTGCACCGATTTGAAGCCAGGATCCAGGAGCTTCTTCTGGGATTCTCATGCGGGTGCAGGGGCCCAAGGACTTGGGCCATCTTCTACTGCTTTCCCAGGCCATAGCAGAGAACTGGATCGGAAGTGGAGCAGCCAGGAATCAAACTGGCGCCCATATGGGATGCCAACACTTCAGGTGGCAGCTTTACCCTCTACATCACAGCACCTGCCCCTCTGTTAGTTTCTGACTGTTGAAGTAAAGGGACTCACTGCCATTCCAAAAACTGTGAGAGCTAAGTCATCTGAAAACATGAAGTACTTACACCTCAACTTCATGTTGATTACAATGTTAGTGTAAACACTTACATATTACGTTTTTGAAGAGCATAATCCCTAGCAGAATGTCCAGCAATGTCTTCAGAAAGCACATCAACCCCTAGTTCAAGAAGCATGTGTACTATGTTTTCCGTACTATACCGTCCCGCAAACATGAGGGATGTTCTAAAATAACAGAAAGAGAACTTCATTAAAAACTTCAATGAGGCTACTCAAACAGCTGAGTGGCTCTATTTTACCAAGTTAATATCTTGCCTATGTATATGTGATCATTTACTTGTATTAATGGACATAAGCATCTTGGAATATCAAATGCTCATCTCCAGAAATTATCTCCAGGCTTAAAGAGAAAGAAACAAAATAAAGCCTCTTGTCTAACTGGGGTATTCCATAGAAGTTACTAATTTGAAGTCTTTAAGGGATAGTAACACCATTGAGATCACTTGTTTAAACCAGGCAGTTTTAAGTGAAGAATTCACTCTTACTTCCCCAGTTTTAAATATTAAATATATCCCAGTCAGGTAAGTAAAGCTATCTGAAAGCATAAAGCTCTTATATTATATGGCAATAATAGTCACAGCAGTTTCAGTTAGCAATGGTGACAACCACGTGTCAGCTACTGAATTACATTTTATATATGACATTATATACAACTACATCTGAAAGACAGGATACATTACTATCCCACTTTCACTTCAGGTTCGATTTAATAGTTAATGTTCCCAAGGTTGCACACCCAACAGGTTGGACATCTGAGAATTAAGCCTTGTGTATATGTCTTTTCTCTTTCTCATTTATTATTTGTCATCATCAAAGGAAAAGCTTATCTAAGTAAATACATTTCTTCCCTCTTCCCATACTAATTACAAATAAAATTATAAGGATCAGGCATTTAATCTTGGTATTATGACACCAATTAAGAAGTCCCCTTCCCATATCAGACTACCTGGTTTGACTCCCAGATTCATCTTCTATGTGTAGCCTCCTACTAATACAGACCCGGAAGACATTAGTTATATTCAGCTTAGATAATTAGATTCCTGCAACTACATGAAAGTCTTTATTGCATTCTTAGCTCCAAGTTTCAATCTGGCCCAGCCTGAACTGTTGCAGGCATTTGAGCAGTGAAACTGAAGTGAGAGAGTTCTAATTCTCTCTCTGTGTGTTTCTCTAATCTCTCTCTCATAGAATTTTTTAAAAACCATGCTTTTAAAAATATCAAATATCAAAATAAAGCAGAATGAAAAAAACGATAAAATCATACTATCTGCTAATAACCACCTACAGTCGCTTAAGTATAACTTAACATCAATATACTTTGAAGAAAGAAATTAACAAAAAAAAAGTCAGCAAAAAGACAAAATGATTTTCAATTCCTATTTATGTATACTACAGCATTTTTAAAAGTAGAGTATGTGGGCGCTAGATTCTGTCCCGGTTGCCCCTCTTCCAGGCCAGCTCTCTACTGTGGCCAGGGAGTGCAGTGGAGGATGGCCCAAGTGCTTGGGCCCTGCACCCCATGGGAGACCAGGAGAAGCACCTGGCTCCTGGCTTTGGATCAGCGCCTTGCACCTGTGGCCATTAGAGGGTGAACCAACGGCAAAGGAAGACCTTTCTCTCTGTCTCTCTCTCTCACTGTCCACTCTGCCTGTCAAAAAAAAAAAAAAGTAGAGTACGTAGGAAAAAAAGATTTCTTTAAGATTATTTATTTATTTATTTGACAGAGTTGGACAGTGAGAAAGAGACAGAGAGAAAGGTCTTCCCTCCGTCGGTGGAAAAATTTTAAAAATATTACAGAATGTTTAAGAAGCTCAATAGTGACTCATATTTATTAAAACAGTAAAACTAAAATGAATAACCTTTCATTAATATCAGACTATACAACCAAAAATCAGATTACTATTAAAATATATCAGTCACTATCATAAGAGAATATGACCATTCCTATGTAGCTCCTTGTGTTGGCCAGTATGCATAATTGCTTTCCTACCAGATAGATTTTTATTGTTACTTTTCATTGTATCTCAATAATATACTAACATTTTATTTCATATTTCTGACTTGAATCACTGTATAACTGATAAACATCACTGAGTTTAAAATATAGAATGAAATAATTTACCTGTTTAGATTATCAACTGCAAAAACATCTGCATTCTGTAATATTAAAAATTTGACCATAGTTTCTTGGTTTTGTTGAATAGCCACTAACAGTGGTGTGAGGCCAGTCTGTAAAAAATGATTCACAATTCACACTATTACATATTTCTCAACAGAACTGAACATATTTCAGATGACAATGCAAACTCGGACATCAAATGTAGAAGGTAAATTAAAGGAGGCTCTTTCTTCCCACCCTGTGCTTCCACATGTGCTGCACATTCCTCTTAAAACTCTCCTCTCCATTGCCTCATTGCATGGAACCTACTCATCACCAAGACTCACTCCAAACAATTGCATTCCAGGGTTCACTGCTTCCATCAAAACACTCACCATGGAATATTACAATTATTTGATTGCACACAATAAAAACACAAGGTCCTCTGGAAGGCAAGGGCTACATGTTTTACCTCTGTAGCCCTAAACCCTAAGACATAGTAGTTAATATTTCAAGCATTCTTATTCAACTGATGACCTAAATTATTGTCTCAAAAATAGTGTTTCTCAATACATATTTCCAAGAACATTTACTTTTGCACAAATTATATACTGTCCACCAACAGAAAAATGTCATGATCATCTGTTTGAGAAATATAACAAAGCCATGCATCCTGTGTTCCCCTAGGTGGGGAGAGAAGCAAACTGGAGGGTATCTGCCCTTTAAAAATAGGAAACCTTCTGTACAGCATACAACTCAGTAATCTGAGCTCAAGGATCCCTGATTGGAATCCTTCAGATAATCCTGACAGTCAGAGGTGTGCATCAGTCTCTCAAATTTTGTATTTTGAAACAATTTACAGAGGCAAACTACACACATCTCTGCACCATGTTCAGTCGATTCCTTTGAGTCTTTGTATCAGCTGGCAATGCATTTCCAAATGATTTTGTATAAAGCAGGTATTAACATGTAATATCTTCACTTTTCTTAGCATCACCTAATTCACAAAAAGAAAGATCAGGCCCACTATGTAGTCAACAGGGCACACCCAATATACTATTTTCCAACAGTTAATAACCATCCATTTGTATTTAAATCTGACAGGTTTTAGTCAAATGGATATTTGAGATACAGGAATGTTGAAACTGAACTATTAAAAGAATGTCCATCCAAATATTCTTAACACTACCATGGCTTTCAATTTTAAGTCTGCCATAGTGATTATGTGTCAGCGCTCCATGAATTCAACACAACAAGATTTGATTGTGTATCATAAAGCTTCAATGAGGAAAAAGGTTCATAATTTGCTATAATTCTAACCATAAAGCCCTGCTTGCAACATACATTTCTTTGTAAAACTATCCGTAAGTGTTATTCTGTAGGCTGAGAATTATTAGTATTATCTCTTTGAATTTATAACTACAAAGGAAAGAAAGACAGATAAAATCAGAGGTTAGTATTGTTCGAATGTAGCATCCATCAAACTCTAACTCTTCTCAAGATTCTTAATAGTTTTTGAGACCTAAGAACTTACACATTACAATTAACAGTTTGGTGGTTCTTAACAAGGGTTTTGTCAGACTCTCAGAGATAGGTTTTTAAGTATACATGTAAAGACGTAGTAAGATTTACTGAAATAAAATACTCTTGGAGAGACTAACTAGACTTGTAAGTTTTCCAGGTCATTCTGATATACAACTCCAGCCGAGAACTGGTGCAGCAGACAACCACCACTTCCATCTCTCCTCTCACACACATCATTTGGAGACTTGACCAAAACGAGGAATGAGTAAGAGACACACACACTGAACATCCCATCTCATTTTTCTTGAGTAGGAATAAATCAACTAACAGTAAACTCAAAGTCCAACTTAGATTTATTTGTAGGATCCTTTTCTTCTACTTTCCCACAAAGACATTCTCTATTTGAGAGCTGAGTTTAGACACTTTTCCTCAGCAGCTCTTCCTACCATAATAAAATGTCAATCATTTGTTCTTCCCTCTTGTTTTCTACATTCATCACCACCTAGTCACTCCAAATATGGTTCCCCAAAGCAAACTTACAACTTATTAATGATATTAATGAAAGTACAAGTATTATACTTTCAATCAAAGAATACTTGGTCTACACAAAACTCAACAAAAACAAATCAAAAATCCCATCTCCGTATTTTCCTCAATTACCTAATTTACAAATGTTTCATTCTTCTATCCTTTTCTCTTGCAAAGTTTCCCAGTTAACCCTTGACACTCTAAGGTAACTTTTATATAAATAAACTTATTTAGGAAATGGACAGCAACAGCCATATTTCTGTTTACTACAACATGCTTTCTTCTTGAGTTTTAAGCAAAAGCCTTTGTCAAGACAAAATTGGATTCTCCTGTTTTTGCACCGCTTAGAAAAAAGTAACTGGGAAAATATCCTTGAAAATATGTCTGACCTTAACAAATTCAGTGCTTTCATAAATACTGGCCATAAATGCCTCTCAGTCTGTCCTTTCCAGTATTTCTGCAATGGTATCAATATTTAACTTAAATCTGGGACAGTTTTCATAAAATATCTTCATTCGATGCAGCTGGTACTCCCAATATGAGAAACTGCTTCTATACATGTCAATCTTTTAAAAATGTATTTCCAATAGTCTAAACATTAAGTTAGATGATCCATACCTTATTTTTCTTTTCGATATCTGCATTGCTGGAAAGCAGCTTTTCGGCCATTCTTATATTTTCTCCGTAGGCCACATAGTGGAGAGCAGTGTTGCCAATTTCATCCTCAATATTTGGATCAGCCCCATGATCCAGTAAGAGTGTAGCACAGTTCTCAGCGGGACACTGTACAGCCTGCCAGTAATACACCAATCATAAATTGTAACTTCTAGAAATTCAAAGAAAAACTCCCCATCCCAATGGTTTCACCAGTTAGTCATATATAAATAAGATAAATTCATTTTTATTCTAAGTATATAAACCAAGCCCTTCCTATACTGGAATGGTCGAGCACTAAATACCTTTATCAGCGGTGTTGCAGCCCTTTTATCTTGCGGATCAAGTAGACATCTTTGGCTTATGAGGAAAGCTACCACGTCTTGGTGGCCTTTTTGCACAGGCCCAGTGCAGAGCGGTCCTATAGGAAATTAGATTGCACAATCACAAAACAGGCCATTTCTCATGTAATCGTAAGAATAAAATAGCATATTCCCCTGCCCTCAAAACAAATACTTTTCTGATGAACAAAGAACTTTATCATCTCTTCTTGTACTAAACTAATGAAAGAGAAGCCTATTAAAGAAAAATAACATGATCATTACATTAACCACAGCTTGGTAAATCCTATTTTAAGTTATGACTAGGACTTTGAGTATCTCAATTTCCTGATTAAAAGAATGGGGAGAAAAAGAGTAGTTGTCTCAGTTTACCATTGTGATGCTTCAATGAAAATCTATGTAAAATATTTAGAACGGTTGCTGACACAACTAACAGCTCAGTAATTGTCAGACGCAGTCATTACTAATACCACGACTTAAAAACAGCATTTTAATTGAGTAAGATAATATAATTATCCTGACTTTCCATATATCCTTGAAGCATTAGAGAAAATATTATAATTCACTGACTCTGAATATGCTCAATGCCTCTCACTTTATCATTTCTCACATTGAAGTGCTGCTTATACTAATACCACGACTTAAAAACAGCACTTTAATTGAGTAAGATAATATAATTATCCTGACTTTCCATATATCCTTGAAGCAATTAGAGAAAATATTATAATTCACTGACTCTGAATATGCTCAATGCCTCTCACTTTATCATTTCTCACATTGAAGTGCTGCTTATCATAATTCATTACTTTTTCCCACTGTAATTGGCAGCATTTAAAAACTTAGCATCTATTGAGATAATTCAATGGTTCTATGGTTTTGTTCTTTGATTTCTTAAGCTGATGTAGCAGATTATTAATCTGTATATGTCAAAATGTCTGTGTACATCAGGGATAAATCCCATTTCATCTGGGTGAAGGATTTTATTAGATGTGTTGTTGGATTCCATTAGCTAGAATTTGTTAAGGATTTTTATCTGTGTTAATCAGTGACACTGGTCTATAGCTGTCTTTCTTGGTTGTTAACTTTTTATCCTGGTTTTGGAATAAAGTGATATAGACATTTGGACCAATGGAAGAGATTAGAGATCTTAGAAATTCATCTATGCATCTACCATCAACTGATCTTTGACAAATGTGCTACAATCACTCCCTGGGGAAAGGACAGTCTCTTCATCAACTGGTGCTGCGGAAATTCGATCTCTGCATGCGGAAGTAGGAAACAAGATCCATACTTTTTAGCTTTCACAAAAAAAAAAAAAACTCAATGGTTCAGGGATCTAAACCTAGGACTCAGAACCATACAATGATTAGAAAAAGCATAGGGAAACACCATAATTCATTGGCATAGTCAGGGACTTCTTGGATTAGACATCAGAAGCACAGGGAATAAAGGCAAAAAAAAGACAAATGGAGTTAAATCAAGATAAGAAGCTTCTCCACAGTGAAGAAAACACTCAACAAAGTAAAGAGGCAATCAACAGAGTGGGAGAAAACACTGCAAACTATACATTGGATAAAGGAATAACATCCAAATACACACGAAGTTCAAGAAACTCAACAACAACAAAACAGAAAATACAGTTAAGAATTGGGCAGAAGATTTAACAGACATTTTTTCAAAGCATGAAATACAAATGGACAACAAACACATGAAAAAATGCTCAGGATCACTAGGCATCAGGGAAATGCCAATGAATTCCACACTCACCCTAGTTAGAATTGTGTTCATCCAAAAATCAAAAAACATAAAAATGCTCATGAGAGTGTTGGGGAAAAGGTACCCGAATACACTGTTGATGGGAACGTAAATTAGCATAACTATTATGGAATGAGAGTAGGAAAAAAAATTGAAAAATAGGTCTGCGATATGACCCAGCTATTCCACTCCAGAGAATTTACCCAAAGGAAGTAAAGTAAGCATATGTAAGAGTTATCTGTAACCCAATGTTTATAGTAGCTCAACTCACATAGCTAAGATATGGAATCAACCAGATGTACATAACTGATGACCGCATAATGTGTGCTATGTAACCATGATGGAATACTATTAACCATAAAAAATGAAAACCCTGTCTTTCACAACAATTTGCAATTGGAGATCATTAAGCTTAGGGAAATACACCAGTCCCAACAAGCAACTAAAACATTTTCCTGGATTTGTGGTAACTAACATACAGAGTACAAAATACGCAGATGAGTGAAATCGACATTTCAGATTTGATTGCATATAGCCCTTATCTATACTCCTGAGAAAACATTGTTTTTCCACTTACTACTTATTGAATTCTTTATTTAGTGAAGGTTAAGCTTGTGATTACAAAGTAAAGTGAAACTTGGTCATTGTAAAATTAAAGAAAAATAGAAGTAGGAGAGAGGGTGGGATTCAGGCAAGGAGGGAGGATAGGTGGGAAGTACCATTATGTTCTTCACATTGTATATATGAAATACATGAAGTGTGTTATCTTTATATAAAGCGTTTTTATAAACAGAAAAATGGCTCATTGATACCTATGATCACACAATCCATGGTGCCTAACACTAAGTGCAAAATAGCTTATAAAAACACATTTATGGCAACTCCAGCCATATGATTGGCATTAAATATTAGTTTCTGAAAGTTCCTATAGTTTGGAAGAGACAGCTAACATTACAAACATGTTTAAAAACAAAGTAATTCTTTAATCTCAATAATATTAAAAATTTAACTAGAGTGTCTACATCCAATCATTCTGGAAATGACAAGATAAAGAAAATTTCACAAGAATTCAAATACCTAAGTAACAATTTAATCACATTTTGTTGGCTAACACAGTCCACAATTTGTGTGTATGTATAAACAAACACTTTTCTCACTTGTTATACAGACTGCCTACATATTTGTATTTCCACATGCATCTGTGGGACACTCCACCTTAATGGTCACCTATCAAGCAATCTATCATGCGCCATAATTTATAGGTCCATTATGTAGGTTCTTTTTAACATATGCCCATTTTAAGCGCTAATAAGAGAAACAAATGGCATGCCTACTTCTGAAAGTTATTTTAAAAGAATGAAATTGGGCTGGCGCCGCGGCTCACTAGGCTAATCCTCCGCCTAGCGGCGCCGGCACACCGGGTTCTAGTCCGGTCGGGGCGCCGGATCCTGTCCCGGTTGCCCCTCTTCCAGGCCAGCCCTCTGCTGTGGCCAGGCAGTGCAGTGGAGGATGGCCCAGGTGCTTGGGCCCTGCACCTGCATGGGAGACCAGGAAAAGCACCTGGCTCCTGGCTCCTGCCATCGGATCAGCGCGGTGCGCCGGCCGCAGCGCGCCGGCCGCGGCGGCCATTGGAGGGTGAACCAACGGCAAAGGAAGACCTTTCTCTCTGTCTCTCTCTCTCTCACTGTCCACTCTGCCTGTCAAAAAAATAAATAAATAAATAGAATGAAATTGAAGGGTGGAGGGCATATGCATTTTTCAAATATGACACAGGGGCTGGCACTGTGGTGTAGCAGGTAAAACCACCACCTGCAGTTCCAGCATCCCCTATGGGGCCAGTTCGAGTCCCAGCTGTACTTCTGATCCAGCTCTCTGCTATGGCCTGGGAAAGCAGCAGAAGATGGTTTGTGTTCGTTGGTCCCTGCTTCCACGTGGGAGACCACAGGAAGCTCCTGGCTCCTGCTTTAGGACTGGCACAGCTCTAGCCATTGTGGCCAATTGGGAAGTGAACCAGCAGATGGAAAACCTCTCTCTCTCTCCCTACCTCCCTCCTCCCCCTCTCCCTCTCCTCTCTCTCTGTAACTCTTTCAAGTAAATAAATAAGTCTTTAAAAAAGTGACATAGTACTTAGAACCAAATTCTCAATATAAAAAGTCACAAGCAATTTGACCTTTGCCCCTAAAATTGCTATTCATTATCATAAACTATATGGATGGAAAGTAGCATTCATTCATCTTTCAAATTAAATTCTTTTTCTCACCAGAGACACTAAATACTGTTTTCTATGTCCATGGATCACTTGTATACCTACAACACATACATATCCAAATTTAAAATTAAGTTCAGTGTTGTTTTCCTGCTTTGCACAGATTTCTGTAAAATGAAGATCCATTTTTTCACCTGAAATATACTTGTTGTAAAAATGTTTTGAAGATATATTGTTTTGTTTTGTTATTTTCATCCAGATACACAGGAAGTTTTTTTTATTTCCTAAGCAAATATTCAGAGTAATTCCTTAAAAACTGCTTATTTAAAAGGCAGAGTGAAAGAGAGGAGGAAAGGTACAAAGAGCTGCCGTTAACTGATTCACTCCCCAAATGCCCACAACAGCCAAGGACAGGCCTGGCAAAAGTATGGGGTCAGATCAGGAGCAAAGTGGGCAGGACTCCAACCTGTACTCAGCTATGAGACACCAGCATCCAAAAGCAGTGACTTCACCCACTGTGCTGAACTGTTCACCCCAGGATGTTTGCTTTCGACTTCAGTCTTCATCAAGTCTTTGGCCACTAAAAAATTTATTGCTTCACATTTTTTGTTTCTTCTGAAATTTTTCTCACATTGTTTATTTACAACTTTTAACTCTACCAGAAATGTAGCTTTGTGTTATAAAAATCTAGTTTTCCTCCGTTAAGAAGTATTTCATGCATAAGTAAACCGTGTTTTCTTATGAATATAAATGTTACCAGTATCAAGTTCTAAATCTTTGTTTCATATTATGTTTTTGGATTTCCAATGCATTTGCCCTTTCAACTGTCAGAAACCTGATTAATTTCTAAAAACAGCACGTTTACATCAAAAACAGCACCTCATTATTTGCTACATTACAAATGAGTGTTAGCAGAGCAGTAAATGACAAGTAGAATGTGTAACTCGAAATTTTTAAACTTTGATATTTTTGTTTGGCGCATGTAAGACTGATAAAATTAAAGCTCACTTTTTGGTAAACATGAGTTCTCTCATGCCAAGGTTTCCTTCTACAATCCCATGTACACGCAGGTGTGAACTGACATCAAACGGGTATTGGGTTTACTCAGACTTTAACCCAGGGGTTGAGAGATTATGGAAATTTTCTTGTTATCTTTTTGATCATGTGTATCACAACGTGGATCTGGACTTGTGTACATAAACATGGACTGGTGTCCAGGGAAGCAAGCAGGGGAGCCTGGGGCGAGGGCTTCCCGCACTGGGCCCTGCTGCCCACCCTCCAGTACCTGCTCTTGTGGTCCACGTCATACACCGCTTCTTCTGCAAATCAGCATTTTCTCCACTGCGGCCACATTGCCCGCGCTGGCAGCTCTGTGAATGGCACCGAGCTCCCAGTAGAGCAGGCGGTATCCAAAATGCGGCCGCATCTTCAAGCGCTTTTTCTCGAACTCCGTAACCGTCCGAGCGCGCTTTCTCGCAAGCTTGCTAACAGACCAGGAGAAAAATTTCTCCATAAGCAAGGCTGTCAGGGGCTTTCAGCCACCTCTGCAGCAAAATAGGAAGAAATGTGGCAGTCTAGCCACCATGCAACGGAGGAGCTTCGCGGTTTTCAACCTCTCGGCTCACAGTAACTGTCGCCCAACAACTGCCGCGCATGTGCACCAGGCTAAGCCCCGCCCCTTCCGCTCCCGGACATTCCTTCCTCTTCCTCCAGACTCCGCCCAGAAGCCCCTCCCCCTCCGAGGCGGCCCTTGCTCTCACTCCTGGTTGGCCAAGACTCCATCCTCCGGGCCATGGAGGACGCCCCAACGCCGGGCAGTGCTTCTTGCACCACTTTCTCCTGCGGCCTGGACTCAGCAGAACTAGGCAGCAGGAGGGCCAGGAAGTGGGAAGGAGGGCGCCCCCCAGGGAGCACAGCCGCCCCCTCCCAGCAGGGCAGCCCCACAGCTTTCCCCTGGGCTCAGGAGATAGTGGGCTGTGTCTCCAGGTGGCTTGGGCCCTGGTGAGGCTCGACCCATGGGCCACATGTGCCCCTATCCCCTGGGCTCAGGCACATGGTTGCAGGGAGGTGACAGGCAGGGGGCAGCCTCGACCTGGTGCTGCCACTCCACTGGCTTCTGGGGCCAGTGCAAAACAGTAAAACACTGAACTTAATTTTAAATTGGGATATGTATGTGTTTGTAGGTATACAAGTGATCCATGGACATAGGAAACAGTATTTAGTGCCTCTGGTGAGAAAAAGAATTTAATTTAAAAGGTGAATGAAATGCTACTTTCCATCCATATAGTTTATGATAATGAACAGCAATATTAGGGGCAAAGGTCAAATTGCTTGTGATTTTTATATTGAGAATTTGGTTCTAATACTGTGTCACTTTTTTTAAAAGACTTATTTATTTACTTAAAAGTCAGAGTTACAGAGAGAGAGAAGGAGAGGGAGAGTCTGGAGAGAGAGAGAGAGAGCGAGGTCTTCCATCTGCTGGTTCACTTCCCAATTGGCCACAATGGCTAGAGCTGTGCCAGTCCTAAGCCAGGAGCTTCCTCTGGGTCTCCCACGTGGAAGCAAGGACCCAAGGACCCAAACCATCTTCTGCTGCTTTCCCAGGCCATAGCAGAGAGCTGGATCAGAAGTGGAACAGCTGGGACTCGAACTGGCACCCATAGGGGATGCTGGAACTGCAGGTGGTGGTTTTACCTGCTACACCACAGTGCCAGCCCCCTGTGCCATATTCAAGGAATAGTTTATTGGCTTTTTTTCTTAACTGAGAATGGGACTGGGAATGGGAGAGGGAGGAAGAGGAGGGTTGGGAGTGGGAGAGTAAGTATGAGGGTAAGAATCATAATATTCCTGAAGTTGTACTTACAAAATTTGTATTCATTAAATAAAAGGTTTCTTTGGGAAAAAAATTCAAGCCCCGCTCCTCTGCTCCCTCACAGATGCCAGCACCCCCAGATCACAGACTTGCCCCAAGGGAGGCAGCTCCCACCATCCAATGGAAGCAGTGAGGATTCTTTGGGGAAATGATGATGTTAGGGCTAGAGAAGGGACAGGAACAGCCTGGGACCAGAGAGAAAATGCCCACAGTTGAAGGGGGCCTGAGGAGGGGCACCAGAGCTGATGCAGAGGAAGCCTAGGCCAACGTGGGATGATCTGAGCCATAAAACAGCAAGAGTCACATACTGTCACTCCCTGAGACATGTCTCCTAATCCCCAGTACCCCGGAAGGTGACTGCACTTGGAGACACTCAACGTGAGGCCGTGGGTGATTCCTAAGGCGGTGTGGCTTCTGTCCCAGAAGCAGAGGACATTCTGACACAGACACACAGGGGATGAGCAGGTGGAGACACAGTGAGAGCCAGTATGTACCTGTGGAGGTGCAAGGCCTCAGAAGGTCCCAGCCCTGTCCACACCATGTCCTCAGACCTCAGCTTCCAAGCAGCAAGAACGTGAACTCATGTGAATAATCCTCCAATAACTACCAGAATCCAGCAGGACCATGATCTCCCAAGAATTCTTCAAACTCAGTGCCAGCATTTTGGTGTAGTGGGTAAAGCCACCAAATCTGATGCCAACATTCCATATAGGCACTGGTTTGTGTCCGGGCTCCTAAAACTTCCAATCCAGCTCCACGCTAATGCCCTGAGAAAGCAGTGGAAGATGGCCCAAGTGCTTGGGCCCCTTCACAAAAGTGAGAGACCTGTACAGAGCTTCTGGCTCCTAGATTCAGCCTGTCCCAACCCCAGGCATTTTGGCCATTTGGGGTGTGAACCACCAATGGAATATCTCTGTGTCTCTCTCTCACCATAACTCTTTCAAATAAATAAATAGCTTTTTAAAAAATCTCCAAGCTCTACCACTAGATTTTTAAACTGGGAACATCAACTTGTCTCGTGTTCCCATCCTTCCCCTATAGGAAGTATTTGAATATGTACAATAATCCTGAGTGCATACAGGCACACAATGCTACATAAACATCTGCTAGAATCTTACAGAGCATGCAATCCCTCCAGTCTCATACTCTTTTTTTTTTTTTGACAGGCAGAGTGGACAGCAGAGTGGACAGTGAGAGAGAGACAGAGAAAGGTCTTCCTTTGCCGTTGGTTCACTCTCCAATGGCCGGCCAGCACGCTGCGGCCGGCGCACCGCGCTGATCTGATGGCAGGAGCCAGTTGCTTCTCCTGGTCTCCCATGGGGTGCAGGGCCCAAGCACTTGGGCCATCCTCCACTGCACTCCCTGGCCACAGCAGAGGGCTGGCCTGGAAGAGGGGCAACCGGGACAGAATCCGGCACCCCGAATGGGACTAGAACCCGGTGTGCTGGCGCCGCAAGGCGGAGGATTAGCCTAGTGAGCTGTGGCGCTGGCCCAGTCTCATATTAAAGGAACTAGAAGTCTGAATCATAGAACTGGCATAGGTGTGAGAAGACTTTTTGATGTTCCAACAAACATCTCACACAATGCGGAGACCAAGCACTGCTACAACAACACACGTGTGCACAATGGAAACTTTCTTGTCCATAGCTCAGGAGCCATGCATTAGGAATAGTGCCTACAAGAAAGTTTTATGTGACAAAATGGTTGATAACAGCAAAAATACAGTATCATTGAGTTAACCCAGGAGCTTACAACTGCCTCATCTTAGGTTAGGAATGAAATGGGATTCCCTTAAGTACTCCTGCAATATTGTAAAAAGAATGCTACCCCTGGTACAACTTCAACTTTGGAATGGACAGATGGCTCTTCAGCAGTGACTAGAAGGGAAAACCACAGTAACTCACTTTAGATAGTATGAGTCAGATCTTGGTTGAGGGCCAGAACAAAGCATTCATGAAGGAGGATGCACTCAGGCAATTTTGGTTCAATGCCTTGGAAGTAAGAAACTGTGGTAAGGATGACCAGTTCAAGCAAAGAACCACCTCCACTGCTGCCATTTGGCACCAAACCATGGCACCACTCCTCTGCAATGCTGTAACTGCCTCTCCACTGTTTTCTTGCTTTCACCCTCACCATCTGGAGTCTGTCCTCCAGACCACCCAAGGTGAGCCTTCGCAAGCATGTCACACAACATGTTGCTGCTTAGCTCAAAACCCTGCTCCAACACACCCAGCTAAAGCCAAGTCCACAATGATCGACGTGACCCTTCTCCCATCACATTTTGACCTCCTTTCCTGCACCTCCCCTCCTTGCTCACTTCCCTCTAGCCACAGAGGCCTTCTGAAGCTGCTGCTCTCTGTTGCAGCTGGCAAAGGCTCCTCCCATGCCCCGGCCAAGACCAACTCCCTCTCACCTTCAAGTTTTTGCTCACATCTGACCCCCTCAGGTTGGTCTTTCTCCAACTACAACTGCACAATCCATACATCTCTTCTTTTTGTACTTACGAATCTATCATTTGTTTATTATGTTTATTGCTTATTTCTGGCTTCTGCCACTAGAAAGCAAGTTCCATTAGGGCAGCATATTTGATGGAGAAGGACTTGGTATGTAGCAGCCTCCTATCTATATTTGCTTGATGAATGACGCTCACATTCTTGTTTTCTAAGAAATAAGTGGGGTCAGGGAGCATCCTCACCTATAACAGAGTCATATTTAAACCACCAGCTAGCGAGTGGCTCCCTCTTTTAGCCTACTTCCCACCGGGGTGTATAACAGTGTGACTTGGGGGTAGAGCCTTGTGTGTGAGAGAGAGAGAGAGAGAACTTACAAGCTTGTAGCTAATGTCCTAAGGTACATCTCTTCCCTTCTTTCTAAATCCCACCACTTAGAAATCTTGCTTTGGTCTTTTTCCTTTTCGGTAGTTTCTTTCATGGAACATCACTGGTTGAGTTGTGCCCAGCAGCAAATTCATATGTTGATGTCCTAACCATCCAGGCCTCTGAATGTCACTGTAATTGAAAACAGAGTCATTGCAAATGCAATTATTTATAAGTTAAGGTGAGCACAATTGTAACATGAGTGTTCTTATTAAAGAATGAGGTTTGGATTCAGAGATTTGCAGAGTAGGAAGCCAGTGTGGAGACACAGGGAGATGGCCAACTGTAGGACAAGGAGAGAGGCCTGGTGCAGGCCTTTTTCCAAGAGCCCTCAGAAGTAACTAGCCCTGCTAAAACCTTGATCTTGGACTTCTAGGCAAAATCAGTTTCTGTTTTTAAGCTACCATCTCTGGTACTACTTTGTTATGGTGGCACATGAATACAGACCAACATGGAATCAAAGGCCCAGGAAGCCACCTTATTACTTCCCTTTGGAACAGTAAGAGCTAGCATTATAGAAGGAGGATGTAAGCCTGGGCAAAAGGAATCTGGGAGCCTCAGCCTGGAAACTCTAGTCAGTGTTAAAGCAGTCTTCAGTATGGATGAGTTTGCAAGGTCACAGGATGGCTCCATAAGACTCAGTGTGCATACACATAGAGTACCTTGCTAAGATCCCTTAAAACATATAGCTGCATTAGGTATCTATTTGGTTAGAGTATTCTATGCTCCAGTCAAATAGCAACTAACAGGTATCTACTCCCTATTTCTCCAGATATTGGCATGTGGAGAATCTTATCTCAAGAGCCTTATAGAAGACTGAATCCACACCATTTCTTCATAATACATCCAAAATCCCACTAGATCCAACCAGGCTGCTTCCCTGGCCCTGCCACATTAGAAAGTCCTG